GGAGGCTGTTTTACTGTTTGTTCGGGTTGGTTCTATTGGGGGGTGGATTATAAGGTTTGGTTCCCTTAGTAACCAAATGTATAATGTGATTCCATGATTATTTGAATGTTTTGGGTTGTGGTTTGGTAGGTGCCAGGTTGGGTGTTTTGAGTTTAGGTCACATCCTATTATTATTTTACTATTACTACTGTTTAATGTGTCGTTAATTAGTTTAAGGTCACTAAGCAGTAGTGGATTTCTTGGGCGTTTGTATAGGGATGCTAATATAAGGTGCTGTATATTGTATTTGGGATTCGGAGTGATATTTGTATTGCCACAGCTTCAATGTATTGAAGCTGTGGAATATCTATTAGTTTATATTGTAATCCATTTTTCAGGCATATGGCTACAGAGGTGCCAGGGTCTGCAATATTACGTCTTTGGGCTATATTTGCATGTGATGCGTGTAAGGTTTGAATTGGTAGTTTGTGAGGATGGGTGTGTTTTTTGTGTTTGTTCTATGTTCCGCGATTAGCATGGCAATGGGCTTGTGTTTGTTTAAGTATATGTTCAGTTCGTGTTTTTTGTGTGCAGAGACTAATGAGTTAACGTTTTGAAAAATTATTTTACTATTCATTGTGCTATTTCAAATAGGAAATCTAGCAATAAAGCTTGTTTGACCTTATTATTTTCGTTTGGGTCTATTGTATTATTTGTGGAGTATTTTTTAGTTAGTTATTGCTTTATATGAATGCAGTCTATTATGTTTTTGCCAAAGAAAGTTTCCATATCTTTATTTAGTCCATCTAATGAGAGGGTGGGTTTTTGGTTATTTAACTTCTTTGCTATGTGCTCTCTAAGTTTTTGGTTAGTTATTGTTATATTGCTTGGGAGTGCCTGACTATTGGTTTGTGGACTTGGTGTTGTGAAGAGAGATGAAAACTTGAGGTTTTGTTGAATGGGGCTATTTAAGGCTGTTGTGGCTTTGTTTATTGTTTTATTGTTTTTGGTTATTGTGTTAGTTTTCTTAGCTAGTAATTTATTTAGTATTTCTATCTTGATTGGACATACATTGGCGTTTGCTGTATGGTTTCCCTTACAGTTGACGCATTCTACCTTGCTATTTGGGTCCTCCTTGGTTACTGTGCAGTTGCCTGGGTTATGTGTGTTGTTATATTTTATGCATCGACATGGCATTTTGCAATTACTTACAACATGTCCATATCTTTGGCAATTGTGATATTGGTGTATTTTGTTGTTCTCTATTAGTGGTTCAATTGTAATTTTACAGTTTAGTAGATTTTTTATATTAAATATTTGCTTTATGTTTGAGGATTTCTTAATTTGGAGTAGCCAGAATTTTTCTTTAAAAGGTTTTAATGTTAGTATTTCTATTTCATTGTTTACTTATAGTAATGCTGTTTTTATATCTGGTTGTGTAAAGCATGCTGGGGGTAGTTTTTTATACCCTGAACCCATTTTCAATGGGAAATCAGGGTATAATGGTTTTGTTGAAATGTATGTAACAGGCAGAAGGAGGCGTGGCAGACCCCATAAAGTATATATATTCTTGATGAGGGTGATGAGCTGAGTCGATGTGGCCCTGTCCGTCCGTCCGTATGTATGAACGCGTCGATTTCAGAAGATATAAGAGGTAGAGACTTCAAATTTTTTTTTAATGTCCGTATTTACAGCGCGGATATCGAGTTTATCACTAAAAATCGATAAATCATCCCGATCTTTTTTATCGATAAAAAACCTTATCGAAAATCAGTTATAAAATTATATCTCCTACATTTTTAGAGTTACAGTCTCCAAATTTTAAATGTATATTTATATGCAATTTATACACTTTCGGTTTTTGTTGAAATTTACCCCCCACCCCTAATTCAACCCCCCCACCCTCACCTTTGTAAAAGGCGTATTTCAAATACTAGAGACTTGTGCTTTGGCAAGTGCACGCATATTATATATACTATATATATTATAATTACTATCGAAAAGTTTCATGAAGATCGTATGTCCACAAAAGGTATTAAGCAATTAAGTTCTCATAGTAAGCGCACACTGCAGCCCATGCGTGTTTATGCGTGGGTGCTTGTGTGTGTATGTGTTTGCGTGTGTGCGTGTTTCTTTTGTAAGCATGAATACGAAAAAAATGATTGAAATAGCTATTGCTCGAAGGGTTCAGGGGATCTCGTAGGCGAGCAGTCTCGACTAGAGTTTTCTTACTTGTTTTCTTTTCTTTTGTAGGCTCCGGCAGATTCGCCGGCAGACCTTTTTAAGACGTTGTTTATTTTGTATTTTTAGTATGTGCCTCCTTTTTTCTTTCTTGTCCATGCCACTTTTTTCACTGCACTTCACAGCTTGTGTCTTTGCTTTTTATCTTCACTAATTCACTTGTTTCCACTTGGCTTGCGTGCCATTCCATTCCACACTGTTTTTATCATTTTTCACAATTAAATAAGAACAGATACTACACTTTGATAAGGCCGAGAACTGTTCCGAGCTAAATAACAACAGATGCTGCACGTATCGCCATTTCACTGCTACAGCTGGTTGAGAATTATCCACCACGCGTAAGTAAGGGAAATATCTTGAACAGAGTTAACGCATATTTTTGTTGCCTACCTCAAGGGTGCATGTATTGCACGTATTGGTGAAATAGAATTCGCAAACGGTTTAAGTAAACATTGAGACTACATGCAGGAAATTTGCATACATAAATTAGTATTGTGAATAGAGGAGGAGAACTATCGATATTGGACGCAGTCGATTTTTGTTGATTGTTTATTTTGAAACATAGATAGTGTCGATAGTACCATCGACTATACTTGGGTAAAAGCAGCTCATTGAGGTGAACCGGCTCACTCGCTCTTTTTTGCTGCTGATTGCTTGGCTTTTAAATGTCTATTCAAATTGCCTTGTGACTTGCAGCTTAAGACACTTTTGCAAATCTTGCATTTAGCCTGTTGCGTTCCCATGTCCTCAAAATGAGTCCAAATTTCGCTGTGCTTTCTAATTACCGACATTGAAAGTTTGATGAAATACACAATTCGCGGAAAAAAAACGTTAACTTTGCGATCAGTGTTGCCGAAACTTTTTCAGCAAAAGTAGCAAAACCGAAGGCTGAAAGTAGCTAGAAGTAGCCAACTTTCTTCTAAAATAGCTGAAAAAGTAGCAAAAAAGAAAACAGTGCTGTTTTTTCATAAAAAGGCAACTTTATTGATTTAATTCTGATAATATCTCATCTATGACCACCAGCTCGTCATTTTCACCATTGCCGCTTTTATAATTTGCCTTTTTAAGGTAGTTGAGTGGAACGCTATACTCATAGCAACATTTGCCATATCGGCGTAATCCATATGTTTTGTGGACATACAATCTTAATGAAACTTTCAAAACGTGATCATATGGCTAAAATGTGTGTACATTCCAAAGCACAAGTCTCTAGTACTTGAAATGCGTTTTTTACAAAATGATGGCGTCAATGGGTCAGGGTATAAAAACTGATAAGAAATGAATTTTGCATAGCATATTAGAAAGCTTACCTATTCTTCAGTTGTAGTATTAATTCTACACAAAGTTCAGTACATTTAAATCATTTACATTTAAAAAATATCGAAGCGGATTTTGTTATAAGTTCGCTTGCATTTTAGCTAAATTTAATATGTGAAAATAGCCAGATTTGTAGCTAAAAGCTGTTTGAAAATTTTTGTAGCAATCGGCCTTAAAAAGTAGCCAGATCTAGCTACAAAATAGCTGATTCGGCAACACTGTACCCAAGTCTACCATCGACTAGTGATGTAATCGATGTTTGCAAAATGATAAATCGATGTTATGTGAAATATCGATGTATCGATGTTTTCTACCAATTCCGTTATTTTTCGTTGATTCAATTCCTTAAAAGCTTTTTAGATAAATGCTTTCTTAGTTTTTATACCCTGAAGCCATTTTCAATGGGAAATCAGGGTATAATGGTTTTGTTGAAATGTATGTAACAGACAGAAGGAGGCGTGGCAGACCCCACAAAGTATATATATTCTTGATCAGGGTGACGAGCTGAGTTGATTTGGCCCTGTCCGTCTGTCTGTCCGTCTGTCCGTCCGTCCGTCTGTCCGTCTGTCCGTATGTATGAACGCGTCGATTTCAGAAGATATAAGAGCTAGAGACTTCAATTTTTTTTTAAAATGTCCGTAATTACAGCGCGCATATCAAGTTTATCATTAAAAATCGATAACTCATCCCGATCTTTTTTTATCGATAAAAAACCTTATCGAAAACCAGTTATAAAATTATATCTTCTACACCTTTATTGCTAGAGTCACCAAATTTGTAATGTATGCTTATATGCAATTTATACAATTTCGGTTTTTGTTAAAATTTACCCCCCACCCTTAAATTCACCACCTCACCCTCACTTTTGTAAAAAGCGTATTTCAAATACTAGAGACTTGTGCTTTGGCAATTACATGCATATCCATGTTATTATCATAATCTGAAAGTTTCATGAAGATCGTACGTCCATAAAAAAAGTTATTAAACAATTAAGTTCTCATAGTAAGCGCTCACTGCCGCCCATGCGTGTTTATGCTTGTGTGTGTATATGTATGTAATTGTTTGTGTATGTGTGTGTGTGTGTGTGTATGTGTGTGTGTGCGTGTTTCTTGTGTAAGCTGAAAGACGCGAAAAATTATTGAAATAGCTATTATTATTATTATATATTATTATTATTACTCCAAGGGTTCAGGGGATCTCGTAGTCGAGTAGTCTCGACTAGAGCTTTCTTACTTGTTTTATTTAATTTCTTTATTGAGTGGTTTACTTAACAATAGTGCTGGAGATACATCGACGTTTGATGTTTTTCAATAAAAAACATCGATGTATCGATGAAAAATCGAGATTTTTTTTATTATAAATTAATTCAACGTTTATATTCTTAATAAAATTAAATTATATATTTTCGCGTGTAATCCATTTCATAACTTAAAAATAAAAAAGAAACAAAAACAAAAGTAAATAAAAAATTTATCACTCCATCAGTCTTTTTTTTCAAATTATCGTATTTTAAGATCTGCAATTACATTGTTATTAATATCATTATTTAAAATTAATCTAAGTATGGGAAACTTAACATCTAATATTCTAATGGGTCTCATTTGAGACCCAATCGTTTTTGTTGATGAACACCAGTATGTCAACATTTTTTGATTTCTGCGAGCTTCTTTTTTCGCTTAAAAGTAGTCCAGCTTTGCTAAACATCTCTCAATATAATTTTAAATCATCTTATATCTGAGAAACATTACCTTCCAATAGTCTAATGGACTTGATGATGATGATAAATTTTCGGACATAAAATATTTACGAAGTGCCAAAATAGAGTCCACTCGTCCACTTCGTACTTTTTTTGAAATATTTTCTTCCAAGAACTCAAAAAGTTCTGGTTCGGTAGTAGGAGACGCGGTAGTAGGAGACGCGGGCAAAACGCTGTAGAGTGTAGCAAGCTCATTTTCTAAAATTTTTTGGGATTCGCTGGCATTCGCAATCGATAGAAAACCTTCCTTTTTGAATCTGGGATCCAAAAGAGTTGCTATTCGCGTGACTGTGCGTTTTTCGTATTGCATGAGCCTTTGTCAAATTCCTTCCATAAATGAATTGTATGCCTCACGACTATCATCAGAGACGAGTCGGACATTAATTTTTTCTAAATTATGTATAAGTCCGTATACAATTGGAATAATTATTGATGTTGTCAGTGAACTACTCGATGATGCCCTTTTTGTCGCGTGGTCAAAAGGAGCGAGTAGAAGCTTTAAGTCCTCCAACACAAGAATCTCATCCGCAGATAGTGGCAACACTGCTTTTGGGGTGTTCAGCAGTACCTTTGCGATGGCGACATGAGTACTTAAAATGCGCTCTACCATATAAAAAGCACTATTCCACCTTGTGGGACACTCCTGTTTTAAATTATAGGGCTATATCCTACAAAAATAATAAATAAAAAATAAAATAAAGAAATAAATAAATGCAAATTTTCTTCTTACCAAGCTTACAACACGATTTTTGCTTAATGTATAGAAACCAGTAAATTTAGTGGTGGGAACATTTATACAAAACATCGATCATCGAAAAACAAACATCGATGTTTCTCATTTTATTTCAAACATCGATGTATCGATGTTACATCGATGTTGCGCCCAGCACTACTTAACAATATAATTAACAGAACTTAAAACTATATCAATTTACGAATTTTTCGTAGTCTTGTGATTAGAAAATAATATAACAAATGCTTTCTTAGCAGTCTTTTTCATTACATTGAGAATCAAAATGAATAAAATAATAATATAACAATAAATGCTTCCTTAGCAGTCCTTTTTTATGCTTTCAAAGCAATATTAATTGTTGTAATTATTTTTTTTTTTTTTTTTCAAAAAAGTATTTTTTGTCGATTGGATTAGATTTGGTCGATTCAGTCGATTTGTGGATTTATGTGTCGGATATTGTGATTGGAAGGTTCCAAGATGGATGTTTAGCATTTAAATCACATCCTATTATTATTTTACCATTATGTTTGTTTAATGTGAGTTGGGTAGTTTTTAGGTCACTGATGGGTGTTGTGGTTGTTTGTATATGGAGGCAGCTATTATGTATTGATTTGTATTGCCACAGCTTCAATGTATTGGAGTTGTGCTCCGTTTTTTAGGCATATGGCTACAGAGGTGCCATGGTCAGCAGAGTTGCGCAGAGACTAATGAGTTAACGTTTTAAAAAATTATTTTACTATTCATTGTGTTATTTCAAATAGGAAATCTAGTATTAGAGCTTGTTTGACCTTATTAGTTTCGTTTGGGTCTATTGTATTATTTGTGGGGTATTTTTAAGTTAGTTTTTGCATTATATTAATGCAGTCTATTATGTTTTTGCCAAAGAAAGTTTCCATATCTTTATTTGGTCCATCTAATGAGAGGGTGGGTTTTTGGTTATTTAACTTCTTTGCTATGTGCTCTCTAAGTTTTTGGTTGGTTATTGTTATATTGCTTGGGAGTGCCTGACTATTGGTTTGTGGACTTGGTGTTGTGAAGAGAGATGAAAACTTGAGATTTTGTTGAATGGGGCTATTTAAGGCTGTTGTGGCTTTGTTTATTGTTTTATTGTTTTTGGTTATTGTGTTAGTTTTCTTAGCTAGTAATTTATTTAGTATTTCTATCTTGATTGGACATACATTGGCGTTTGCTGTATGGTTTCCCTTACAGTTGACGCATTCTACTTTACTATTTGGGTCCTCTTTGGTCACTGTGCAGTTGCCTGGGTTATGTGTGTTGGTACATTTTATGCATCGATATGGCATTTTGCAATTACTTACAACATGTCCATATCTTTGGCAATTGTGACATTGGTGTATTTTGTTGTTCTCTATTAGTGGTTCAATTATAATTTTACTGTTACTGACTACTTAAAACTAATCAATAATATAATGTAATAAAAGTATTAATTTCAGTCTAATTATTAATGAGTGTTATACACAAGCCCATCGTTTGGGTTGATGGATAGGTGTTTCCTATGATAAAATATAAGCTTATTATTCGAGTCATATATTATTCCTTTTTCTTTTAGGCTATTTATGTGGTTTATTGTTAATTGTTCAGTCTGAAGTATGAAGGGGATTCTTTAATGTTCTATGCTGCTTTGGATTAGATGATTTGTAGAATTTCGGTTTTTTTCTATGAATTTTTCTAGTATGTTAAAATTATGTACGTCTATGCGTTTGATTTTTGTTTGTTTGTATAGCTTAGAGTTTTGTATGTAATGTTGGGTGTGGGGGTTGTGTGCACTTTTCCCTATTGTGTACCGCAACATTTTTCTTTCGAATAGGTTTATCTGTTCCATTTGTTTGGATTCTATATTGAACCAAGCCACGTAACCATGGGTTAGTACAGGCTGTATGATTTTTTTATATGCTAATGTGCGTATTTTAATTAGTTTTCTATTTGGCAAGTATGGGGTAGTCTCTAATTGCTTAAAGATGTGGGCTATGCTATGGAATTGTATTTTTGCTCTTTTTAGTATGTGTTCTATGTCTTTTTGAAATTTGAGTTTTGTGTCAAAGATGACGCCCAAGTATTTTTATTCGGGTTTTATGTTGATTTGGCTATTTCTGTCTATGTATATTTTGGGTGTGAAGTTTCGTGCATTTTTTTTTACATTTTTTGTTTTAGGTCCTTTAAATATGCAACCAGTGCTTTTTTCATTATTTATTTTTATTTTCCAAGTTATGAAGTAGTTGTTTAATTGGGTTAGATATCTGTTCAGGTTCATTTCGGCTGTCGCTGCCCATGCGCCTGCCGATAGTAATAATATGTCATCTGCATAAATGATAGGTTGTATGCGTGGGGTATTTCTCATATTAGGGGGATGTATGTATTCTGGTATGTCTGCTAGGTATATGTTGAAGAGGATGGGTGCTAGTAGTGAGCCCTGTGGGACACCTGCTGTTATTGCTCTTATCATTGAGTTCTCTGTACCGCCCGGTCCTGTTACGTAAAAGGTGCGATCTGTCAGGTAGTTGAGTATTGTCCGTGTTATGTTCTTATCGAAATGTAATCTGTCCATTTTGTAAACGAGTCCGTTCGTCCACACTGTGTCAAATGACTTTTCCATGTCTAGTGCACAGGCTATTACGGCTCGTTTTTTTGCAATATTGTTATGTATGAAAAAGTTGGCTATTGAAAGTGCGTTGGTAATTGATAGGTTTTCTCTGAAGCCTATCTGGAATGGTTTGAATATTTGGTGTTTCTATGTGTTTTTTATTAGCTGTAGTAACATTTTTTCAAATAGCAGACTGATAGCGGACAGGATTGATATTGGTCTGTAGCTTTTTAGATTATGGGGATCCATTTTTGGCTTAGGTATTGGTATGATTTTGCTACGTTTGCAAGTAACCGGAAAGTAGTTTATATTGAAGCAGTGATTAAAAAGAATTGCAATATGTTTTAGTACTAGGAGGTTGCAGTGTTTTAGGAGGAAATTGCTGGTACCGTCTGGGCCCGCAGTTTTTTTTGTTATTTTTGGAACGTAGCCACTCTAGCAATTGGAGTGCATTGGTGAATCCAATTTCTTGGGCACCTGCCCAATTGCCTTCTGCGTTTTGCGTTTTTTGTAAATTGAACTATTGGACTAGTATGTGTTTCTGTTAGTTGGGCGATTTCATTGTTAATGTGTCTAGTGTGTTGGTTGTGTGTTGCGTTGTCGTTTATTGTATCGTTTTGTCTATGTACTTGTTCGTATTGCCAAGCTAATGCATTTATTTTTTTAAATGTGGTTTTTAATTCTGTTGGGGTTTGTAAGTCTATTTTGTTCTTTTCTATTGTTGTTAATGTGATATTATTTTTTAGGATTTGTGTTTTTGGTTTTTGGTTTTTGGGGGTTTAACTGTTGCAGTTTTTTTTAATCCTATTTTACAGATGTCTATTTGTTTTAATTTATATTCGATGTTTATCATGTTGCTTATTTCAATTTGTTTAGTTATTTGAAATTTGAGTTTCTTTATTAGATTACGCAGGTAGGCCCTTTCGTTACTTGTTAAGTGTAGTAGTCGTCTGTGCAGTATGTTTCTAATGTTTTGCCTATGTTTGATTAGTGCTAGGCAGTGTGGGTTTAGTTTTATTGTAGGATTTGGTTTGGTAGGGAGGGTTTTGATTTTTGGGATGGCTATTGGGGAGTTTATTGCTATGTTGAATGCTGTATTTTGATTTTCTATGTGTGCATCGATTTCTCGTGCAGTTAGGTTATTGTTTTTTTGTATTGGGTTTAAGTTTTCTAATATTATTTTATTCCACATTAGTGTGTTTATTTTGTTATAGTTGTGAGTTATTTCTGGTTTAAATTTTAGTATGTGTTTTTGATCTGTTTGTATGTTTATTTGTATCCCTAGGTGGTCAGAGGGAAAGTCATTAGTGGTGTGGCAGATGTTGTGGGATGTTATGGTTAGGTCTTTGGATGTTATAAAGAAGTCTATGGAGCAGGCTGTTTTACTGTTTGTTCGGGTTGGTTCCATTGGGGGGTGGATTATAAGGTTTGGTTCCCTTAGTAACCAAATGTATAATGTGATTCCAAGATTATTTGAATGTTTTGGGTTGTGGTTTGGTAGGTGCCAGGTTGGGTGTTTTGAGTTTAGGTCACATCCTATTATTATTTTACTATTATTACTGTTTAATGTGTCTTTAATTAATTTAAGGTCACTAAGCAGTAGTGGATTGCCTGGGCGTTTGTATAGGGATGTTAATATAAGGTGCTGTATATTGTAATTTGGGATTCGGAGTGATATTTGTATTGCCACAGCTTCAATGTATTTAAGCTGTGGAATATCTATTATTTTATATTGTAATCCATTTTTCAGGCATATGGCTACAGAGGTGCCAGGATCTGCAATATTACGTCTTTGGGCTATATTTGCATGTGATGCGTGTAAGGTTTGTCTAATGAATTGGTAGTTTGTGAGGATGGGTGTGTTTTTTGTGTTTGTTCTATGTTCCGCGATTAGCATGGCAATGGGCTTGTGTTTGTCTAAGTATATGTTCAGTTCGTGTTTTTTGTGTGCAGAGACTAATGAGTTAACGTTTTGGAACATTATTTTACTATTCATTGTGCTATTTCAAATAGGAAATCTAGCAATAAAGCTTGTTTGACTTTATTATTTTCGTTTGGGTCTATTGCATTATTTGTGGGGTATTTTTTAGTTAGTTTTTGCATTATATGAATGCAGTCTATTATGTTTTTGCCAAAGAAAGTTTCCATATCTTTATTTAGTCCATCTAATGAGAGGGTGGGTTTTTGGTTTAATTTCTTTGCCATGTGCTCTCTAAGTTTTTGGTTAGTTATTGTTATATTGCTTGGGAGGGCCTGACTATTGGTTTGTGGACTTGGTGTTGTGAAGAGGGATGAAAACTTGAGGTTTTGTTGTATGGGGCTATTTAAGGCTGTTGTGGCTTTGTTTATTGATTTACTGTTTTTGGTTGTCGTATTTGTTTTCTTAGCTTGTAATTTATTTAATATTTCTATTTTGATTGGACATACTTTGGCGTTTGCTGTATGGTTTCCCTTACAGTTGACGCATTCTACTTTACTATTTGGGTCCTCTTTGGTCACTGTGCAGTTGCCTGGGCTATGTGTGTTGGTGCATTTCATGCATCGATATGGCATTTTGCAATTACTTTCAACATGGCCATATCTTTGGCAATTATGGCATTGGTGTATTTTGTTGTGTGTGTTAAATGGTTCTATTACTATTTTACAGTTTAGTATGTTTTTTATATTAAATATTTGTTTTATGTTTGGGGATTTCTTAATTTGGAGTAGCCAGAATTTGTCTTTAAATGGTTTTAGTGTTAGTATTTCTATTTCATTGTTTGCTTCTAGTAATGCTGTTTTTACTTCTGCTTGTGTAAAGCATGCTGGGGGTAGTTTTTTTATTATGAGGTTGTAAGGTTTGAGGGAACTAGGGGTATATGTGTAGTAGTTTCTATTGTTATTTGTTAGCACTTCTTTGAGATGCATAAAGTTTGTTAAGTTATATACATTAACTAGGATTATGTTTTTATTTATTATATTTAGTCTATAATTACTTTTTGATATCTTGGGCAGTAGCATATCTTCCATTTCCTCGGGGGTCCTGTTGTAGATTGTGATGGCCGGAATTTTGATGTTGGTTGTCTGCGTTGGTTCATTGTTGATGTTGTTGCTGCTATTGTTGTTGTCGCCGTTGATGTCGCCGTTGATGTCGCCGTTGATGTCGCCGTTGATGTCGCCGTTGATGTCGCCGTTGATGTCGCCGTTGATGTCGCCGTTGTTGTCGTCTACTTCTGGGGGGGTGTTTTGCTGTTTCTTGCTTTTGTTTTTCGTTGCTGTTGATGCTGGTGATGTCGCTTTCCTTTTTTGTTTTTTCGAGGCTCTGGTGGCTGTGTGCAGTGGTGGGTATTCGATGTCGTTAATGTTTTTATTGTCTTCTTCGTGTTGATATAGTGCGGCAAATTTGTTGCCTTGTAGTATGTTGTTTTCATTGTTGCTTGTTGTGTTTGTTTGCATTTTTGTCATATTATTGAAGACTTGTAATTGTTCTTTTTGATGTTGGATTAGTTGTTGTTGTATTTTTATCTGCTCTCTTGTTAAAATGAGTTCTTTCATCATTTGTGCATGTTGTTTTTTGTTCAAAATGACTTGTTCACTTTCATCAATTTCATCATATTGCATCATCACTGACTCACTTTCGTCATCTAGATATTCATCTAGTGATGACATAGATGTATTATGTTTTTCTGACATTTTGTTGTTTTTTTCGTTTCTATTAATGCACAGATTTTGTATTTCGTGCATATGCACAGGCACTGTTTTTCTTTTCTTTTGTAGGCTCCGGCAGATTTGCCGGCAGACCTTTTTAACACGTTCTTTATTTTGTATTTTTAGTGTGTGCTTCCTTTTTTCTTTCTTGTCCATGCCACTTTTTTTCACTGCACTTCACAGTTGTGTCTTTGCTTTTAGTTCACTTGTTTCTTCTTCACTAATTCACTTGTTTCCACTTGGCTTGCGTGCCATTCCATTCCACACTGTTTTTATCATTTTTCACAACTCAGAAAAATAATTAGGATCAGATACTTCACTTCGATAAGGCCGAGAACTGTTTCGAGCTAAATAACAACAGATGCTGCACTTATCAAGTGTTCCGAGTTTTATTAACGAGAATCGAATAGTTATTGAGTTTCGCATTTTTAAGCTCTTTTAAAGAAATGTTAGGGGTCCTGAAAAGGACCGATTGTTGTGAAAATAAGTTGCTTGTTATACTCGTTTTTTCTTAACCGCCAAAACCGTACAGTGTACGACCTTGCCTCTTCAATGCATAGACAACATCCATGGCTGTGACTGTCTTCCTCTTGGCATGTTCGGTATATGTGACAGCATCGCGAATAACATTTTCCAAAAAGACCTTGAGAACGCCACGGGTTTCTTCATAGATTAGTCCAGAGATTCGCTTCACGCCACCACGACGAGCTAAACGACGGATAGCTGGCTTCGTGATACCCTGGATATTATCACGCAACACTTTGCGATGACGCTTTGCACCTCCTTTACCCAAGCCTTTGCCACCTTTACCACGACCAGTCATTTTTCACTTTTTATGTATATATATATATACGCACTTCACGAATGTCAGAAATACTATAATGCCTACGACCAGGCCCACTGCTATTTATACCGAAATATCCGAAAACTTGAGAGAGCACATAATGCTTGCATCCCGCTCACACACTACCCTTGCAACATTTACAACAGCCGAGTAGAGTAACACGATCACTATTTGTCGATCACGAATATGTCGATCTCTTTCTAACGCACCACCAGTTTTCTATATAAGAGTGTGGAATAATTTCGACCGATCATTGTGTTTAGAATTGTGTCAGTGTAAGGTTGAATTGAATTGAAGTGAAAAATGGCTCGTACAAAGCAGACCGCTCGGAAGTCTACTGGAGGCAAGGCTCCTCGTAAGCAGTTGGCTACTAAGGCAGCACGTAAAAGTGCGCCAGCTACTGGCGGTGTGAAAAAACCTCATCGCTATCGCCCTGGTACAGTTGCTCTGCGTGAAATTCGTCGTTACCAGAAGAGCACAGAATTGCTTATACGCAAGTTGCCGTTCCAGCGTTTAGTCCGTGAAATCGCTCAGGATTTCAAGACTGACCTTCGTTTCCAAAGCTCAGCTGTAATGGCTCTGCAGGAAGCTAGCGAAGCCTACTTGGTTGGCCTATTCGAAGATACAAATTTGTGCGCCATTCATGCCAAACGCGTCACGATCATGCCCAAGGACATTCAACTGGCCAGACGTATCCGTGGCGAGCGCGCTTAAATTGCTTCGCTATTCTCTTTTGTAGATATTACAAGCAACATCCAACAAATCGGTCCTTTTCAGGACCACAATATTTCTAACAAGGAGATTTCTATTTTCGCTTCAACTTTTTTCAATTTTTTTTCGATATCAGTTGATCTCAAAAATAAATCGATCGATCATAGATAAAAAATGTAATATAAAGAAAGTCTTTTGTTTTTAAATAGCACAATATAGCTTTATTTGATTTTCAAAAATTGCATTTTTATAAGGCGTTTAGTGTTACAGTGGTAAGCCAATTGCTTTTCAATTCAAATATGACATATTTCTGATTATGTGTCCTTAAAACATTTTTATATACAAGTAAAAAGTAAACTATATTAGTTTTTATATATTTTGTATAGTTTGTGCCTTGTGTTACAAGATAAAGTAATATTTTAACACTGATGTATTTCTTTGCGCAAGATAAGTGTATCTGAAATGTGATTTTGAATATGATGGTATGAAATGATTATATGTTTGAAGTAAAGAAAATAATAACATAAAATTTTCATTCTAATTTTGTAATTTATATTTATTAAAATATTTTTAATGTTAAAGGGAAGATTTCATAATTCTGAAATATTTTTTTATTACGCTGGCTTAGAAGCATGAGTGTTTTTAACGAAATGAAATCATATTTAATGTATAAATCTATAGGGTTTCTTCATATTAATAGTTGTATTTTATTAACAAATTAATGAATTATTATCTTTTATATTGATAAACAACAATTTTTATTATTAGATTTTATTTTTACGAATGATTTTTGTATTGCGTTGGCTCAAAAGCATGACTGTAATTAACGGCAAATGTTTTAGTTGAAATCAAATGTTATTTTTAAAACTATAGGGATTGTTCATATTAATAGTTGTATTTTATTAACAAATTAATGAATTATTATCTTTTAAATTGATATACAACAATTTTTATTATTAGATTTTATTTTTACGAATGATTTTTGTATTGCGTTGGCTCAAAAGCATGACTGTTTTTAACGGCAAATGTTTTGGTTGAAATCAAATGTTATTTTTAAAACTATAGGGTTTCTCCATATTAATAGTTGTATTTAATAAACAAATTAATGAATTATTATCTTTTAAATTGATATATAACAATTTTTATTATTAGATTTTATTTTTACGAATGATTTTTGTATTGCGTTGGCTCAAAAGCATGACTGTTTTTAACGGCAAATGGTTTAGTTGAAATCAAATGTTATTTTTGAAACTATAGGGATTGTTCATATTAATAGTTGTATTTTATTAACAAATTAATGAATTATTATCTTTTAAATTGATATATAAACATTTTTATTATTAGATTTTATTTTTACGAATGATTTTTGTATTGCGTTGGCTCAAAAGCATGACTGTTTTTAACGGCAAATGGTTTAGTTGAAATCAAATGTTATTTATAAATCTATAGGGATTGTTCATATTGATAGTTGTATTTAATAAACAAATTAATGAACTATTATCTTTCAAATTGATATATAAACATTTTTATTATTATCTAATTAAAACCATAATTTTTCCAAGATAACTTATTTTGCATTCATACAAAGTTAGACTTTGAGGGGCAATAAAAAATCATGAAATTATATAAAAGTAAGCAAAAATTAGTTTTATGAATTTTTCAAACATTTGAGAATACAATCTAATACATATTTAGTTTGGATATCTAATTTAAAATGTTTAAAAATACAAGTCAATAAAATGGTAATTGTAAACTTTTGCGTATCGTACATTCAATGGCACAAACATTCTCGTTCGGCCTTCCTCCTCGATTCTCATTCAAACGGGTGACCAAAATTCATGATATTTTCCAATTAACAAAAAATAAAACGTTTCGTTTCGTTTGTTATAAAGTGAATAATACAAAATGTCTGATTCCGCAGTTGCAGTATCCGCGTCCCCCGTGACTCCCCAAACAGCCTCGGCTGAGAAGAAGGTGGCTGCTAAAAAGCCAGCATCTGCATCCGTATCTAAGGCAAAGAAAGCAGCGGTCCCTCCAACACACCCACCAACTCAGCAGATGGTGGATGCATCGATAAAAAATCTAAAGGAACGTGGAGGCTCATCCCTCTTGGCTATTAAGAAATATATCAGTGCCACTTACAAGTGCGATGCCCAGAAGCTGGCTCCATTCATTAAGAAGTACCTGAAGAATTCGGTTGCGAGTGGAAAGTTGATCCAAACAAAAGGGAAGGGTGCATCTGGTTCATTTAAGCTGTCTGCATCTTCTAAAAAGGAGCCCAAGCCAAAGGCATCCTCTATAGAGAAGAAATCTAAGAAGGTAACTGCATCGGCAGCAGCCAAAAAAGAAGAGTATATCTGCCACCAAAAAAGTTAAGGGCGCTGCTGATAAGAAGTTATCAAAGGCTGTGGTGACCAAAAAGAGTACCGACAAAAAGAAAGCAGACAAAGCGAAGGCCAAAGATGCAAAGAAAGTAGGAACCATTAAAGCAAAGCCCACAACAGCAAAGGCGGCAAAGTCGAGCGCAGCAAAGCCAAAAACACCGAAACCTAAAACTACAAGTGCTAAGCCTAAAAAGGTTGTCTCGGCAGCATCACCGAAAAAAGCAGCTGCTAAGAAGCCAAAAGCAAAAGCTACGTCCGCAACAAAGAAGTAATTTCACTTCGGAATTACTCGGCCGAATTTCAAAACTATGAAATTGGTAATTAATCAAAGTCCTTTTCAGGACTACTATTACATATTTCTTAGAGAAAAAATACTTTCATAAGCGTATCTATAAGCCAATGAAAAAGGAGAGCGCCAATTTAAAGATCGTAAGGTAAAACAAATAAGAAAGCTCTAGTCGAGACTGCTCGACTACGAGATCTCCTGAACCCTTCGAGCAATAAATAAATATATATATATATATATATATATATATATATATATATATATATATATATATATACAAGCAACACGCATGGGCTGCAGTGTGCGCTTACTATGAGAACGATCTTCATGAAACTTTCAGATCGTGCATCAATGCAATGCGTGCACTTACCAAAGTACAAGTCTCTAGTATTTGAAATACGCCTTTTACAAAAAAGTGGGTGAGGGGTGGGGGGGTAAACTTTATCAAAAACAGAAGTTGTACAAAATGCATACAAGTATACATTTAAAAATTGGAGACTATCTTTAAAGATGTAGGAGATATAATTTAATAACTGATTTTCGATAAGGTTTTTTTTATCGATAAAAAGAACGGGATGAGTTATTGATTGTTAGTAATAAACTTGATATCCGCGCTGTAAATACGAACATTAAACAAAAATTGAAGTCTCTAGCTCTTCTATGTTCTGAAATCGACGCGTTCAAACATACGGACAGACGGACGGACGGACCGGGCCAAATCGACTCAACTCGTCGCCCTGATCAAGTATATACTTTGTGGGTCTGCCACGCCTCCTTCTGCCTGTTACATACATATCAACAAAACCATTATACCCTGATTTCCCATTGAAAATGGGCTCAGGGTATAAAAAGACAAACAAAAATTTTTTTCTGATAAGAATATTGCTCTTCACTCAGGAAGAGAGAGTTAGATTTGATAGTTGTACGTTCTTGTTGGGCATTTTTGGTACATTTGGTACATTCATTGAAATATTTAATATTCTTTGAAAAAAAGATTTGTGGCCCTGAAAAGGGCCTTTTGCTTCTTCTTTTGGATGTTCTGCATACACCGAGGTAAGATTTACTTGGAGCTAGTGTACTTGGTTACTGCCTTTGTTCCTTCACTGACAGCGTGCTTGGCCAACTCTCCGGGCAACAGAAGACGGACTGCAGTTTGGATTTCCCGACTGGTAATCGTTGAACGTTTGTTGTAGTGTGCTAAACGAGAGGCCTCAGCAGCAATACGCTCAAAAATGTCGTTCACGAAGCTGTTCATGATGCTCATTGCTTTCGACGAGATTCCAGTGTCAGGATGGACCTGCTTTAGCACTTTGTAAATATAGATGGCATAACTTTCCTTCCTCTTGCGCTTCTTCTTCTTATCATTCTTGGTAATATTCTTCTGGGCCTTACCAGCCTTTTTGGCTGCCTTTCCACTTGTTTTAGGCGGCATTACTATTATTGTATTATTCACTCAAGTTCACTTTTACTCACTTCCCAAATGTTTGACAGAAATATAGAACTTGGTTAACGTTTGTAAGATTTTTCGAACAACGTTTTCATGTTTGCGCACAGCACAACTCACCCTCTTTAGCTGAAAAAGTAGGTAGGTAAAAAAGTATAAGTTGACATTGTTCGGGTTTTGGGCATTCGATTCTTGTTTGTTGAGTGAAAAAGTGTAAGAAGAATAAAAGGAATATAATGTCTGGTCGTGGTAAAGGTGGAAAAGTGAAGGGAAAGGCAAAGTCGCGCTCAAACCGCGCTGGCCTGCAGTTTCCCGTTGGTCGTATTCATCGGCTTCTTCGCAAGGGCAACTATGCCGAGCGTGTTGGTGCCGGTGCTCCAGTTTACTTGGCGGCTGTTATGGAATATTTGGCCGCTGAAGTTTTGGAGTTGGCTGGTAATGCAGCCCGCGACAACAAGAAAACCAGAATTATCCCTCGCCATCTGCAATTGGCCATCCGCAACGATGAAGAGTTGAATAAACTCCTTTCGGGCGTCACTATTGCCCAGGGCGGTGTGTTGCCTAACATCCAAGCAGTTCTGTTGCCCAAGAAGACCGAAAAGAAGGCTTAAATTACGAATTAGTGCACATGGAAACCAAACGTCCTTTTCAGGACGACCAAAAGTACAAAAGAGATGCGATTTTTCATATATTAGTCTACAAAAATAAGAACAAGTCGGGGGCGATACCGATTGCAGAAGACTCATTCACAGCCCAAACGCTGTCAACCAGAAACAGGGCATGATCCCATTAAAATTGGAAAATCATCGATAGCTATTGCTATGATCATTGCATCATTGCATCATTGCATTAAAATTACATACAATTTTGAATTAATAATATATATTTATATCCATATATTGGATACTGGCTTCAAGCTAGCAGCAGATCAGCGCGATTTTCCTATACATGTGCACACACTCATCGTCTATTCTATGCGTACAGACAGGAGCGCGCCTTTTCTCACATTCTTAGAATTTCGATTGATTTCTGGACTTTCTAGCCGTTACTGTAGTTTTGTCTGATGACGCTCTCTTATTATGCTATTCTATTTTAGTAACTGTCTGATGGAGCAAAACAGTGGCGCGGGTGCTAAGGGCGACGCAAATTATGTTATAGTAGGGGAGGTTCAAAACCTCTTCGATGCTATTATTATTATTATTATTTTGTTTTTTTTTTTCATACATATTTCGTTTTTTATAAAATAGATATTTTGTTGGGAAGGTGCGAGCTTGAATGAATGGCACTTAATACTTTTCTTTTTCTTAGTCGAATAATTTTATAAGTTTAAATTTGTTTCTTCTTAAACAGCCCTCAAATACATATACGCAAGTACATACATATGTATGTATATATGTATATAAGTCTGCTCGCATAGCATCAAGTATTCCAGCCTTATACACGCGCTCATGTGTATGTGTGTATGTATGCACACATAAATGCGTGCTCTAGCATATTCTAAGAATCTCGCAGCGATTGATTTGTCTTTGCATTGTTTTTGAATTTCCAGCTGCTACACTGGCTTTATTTTGCTATGTGGCGTCATAACAATAATGTGATTTCGTTTTAATTATTGTTTTTTAAAACGATGCGGTGGTGCTGTAGGCAGAAGCGCCGGCCATCTTTATTTTAGATATTTTGACATGAACATGCTATTCGGCTTGGGTGCGAGTTCAAATCCCGCGGAAAACTCGTTTTTGTAAATTGCAAATTTGTTTGTTATTTTAGTTTTTTTTATATTTTATCAATTTTATAAAAATGTTTCCTTCCGTGCTATCAATGCCTATTAAGCCTATTTATGTGAACAAATACATAAATAGATGGTGACGCATATAAATGCCGCAATATGGGCACAATAAATGCCGATTGCGACGCCCCTAGTGGCCGTAGACTCCTCATATTTGGCCAGTTCTTAGAACGAGCAACCGGTAACCTAAATGCAAAATTTGAATTCTTACGCTCAAAAAATGTTAACATTACAGGGTATTTTTCGATATGCCACGCCCCCCAAAGAAGCTTAAAAATTATTTTTGGGGCATCGATAGAGGAGTACTGGAGTACTGGTAGCCTCCTCAACTATCTCAACTCAACTATCAAAATTTAAAGCTTCTAGCTCTTAAACTGTAGGAGATATAAACTTTTGCGGTTTGCCACGCCCCCAATGGGCGGAGATATATCTACCATAGCTCGTTGGACTTGGGTGGTCAACCCGCGTATATATACCAAATTTCAGGTCTCTAGCCGAATTCGAAAAATCACTATATCTTCAAGCCCCTAGTAGGCGTAGATATATAATTTTTTCACCCATCTTTATAGAATTAAAACATCAGCTTACGTGCCAAATTTCAGCATTCTAGGTTTATAACTTTAGGAGATAAAGTTTTGTCCGATTTGCCACGCCCTCAATGGGCGGAAAAATATCCGCCATAGCTCGTGATCTTGGGTGGTCGACGCGGACCTACAAACCAAATTTCAGCTTTCTAGCTCTGCAACAAAATAAAAATATAATTTAATAAGTAATAAGTGAGCAATTCAAAATATGCAGACATGTCACATGTGTGACTACCGTCACTGTACAGTCATTTACAGTACAGTACAGTCTCATTTATAATCATTCATGCTCAAAAGTTGGTTGCTGGTCATCGTTCGTCTGTTCTCATTTATTTCGCAGCTAGACAACTTTTATAACGGGTCTATATTAAGGACAATTATAATTGAATTTCGCATTTTTAAGCTCTTTTAATATTTTGGTGGTCCTGAAAAGGACCGATTGTTGTGAAAATAAGTTGCTTGTTATACTCGTTTTTTCTTAACCGCCAAAACCGTACAGTGTACGACCTTGCCTCTTCAATGCATAGACAACATCCATGGCTGTGACTGTCTTCCTCTTGGCATGTTCGGTATATGTGACAGCATCGCGAATAACATTTTCCAAAAAGACCTTGAGAACGCCACGGGTTTCTTCATAGATTAGTCCAGAGATTCGCTTCACGCCACCACGACGAGCTAAACGACGGATAGCTGGCTTCGTGATACCCTGGATATTATCACGCAACACTTTGCGATGACGCTTTGCACCTCCTTTACCCAAGCCTTTGCCACCTTTACCACGACCAGTCATTTTTCACTTTTTATGTATATATATATACGCACTTCACGAATGTCAGAAATACAATAATGCCTACGATCAGGCCCACTGCTATTTATACCGAAATATCCGAAAACTTGAGAGAGCACATAATGCTTGCATCCCGCTCACACACTACCCTTGCAACATTTACAACAGCCGAGTAGAGTAACACGATCACTATTTGTCGATCACGAATATGTCGATCTCTTTCTAACGCACCACCAGTTTGCTATATAAGAGTGTGGAATAATTTCGACCGATCATTGTGTTTAGAATTGTGTCAGTGTAAGGTTGAATTGAATTGAAGTGAAAAATGGCTCGTACAAAGCAGACCGCTCGGAAGTCTACTGGAGGCAAGGCTCCTCGTAAGCAGTTGGCTACTAAGGCAGCACGTAAAAGTGCGCCAGCTACTGGCGGTGTGAAAAAACCTCATCGCTATCGCCCTGGTACAGTTGCTCTGCGTGAAATTCGTCGTTACCAGAAGAGCACAGAATTGCTTATACGCAAGTTGCCGTTCCAGCGTTTAGTCCGTGAAATCGCTCAGGATTTCAAGACTGACCTTCGTTTCCAAAGCTCAGCTGTAATGGCTCTGCAGGAAGCTAGCGAAGCCTACTTGGTTGGCCTATTCGAAGATACAAATTTGTGCGCCATTCATGCCAAACGCGTCACGATCATGCCCAAGGACATTCAACTGGCCAGACGTATCCGTGGCGAGCGCGCTTAAATTGCTTCGCTATTCTCTTTTGTAGATATTACAAGCAACATCCAACAAATCGGTCCTTTTCAGGACCACAATATTTCTAACAAGGAGATTTCTATTTTCGCTTCAACTTTTTCAATTTTTTCGATTTCAGTTGATCTCAAAAATAAATCGATCGATCATAGATATAAAATGTAATATAAAGAAAGTCTTTTGTTTTTAAATAGCACAATATAGCTTTATTTGATTTTCAAAAATTGCATTTTTATAAGGCGTTTAGTGTTACAGTGGTAAGCCAATTGCTTTTCAATTCAAATATGACATATTTCTGATTATGTGTCCTTAAAACATTTTTATATACAAGTAAAAAGTAAACTATATTAGTTTTTATATATTTTGTATAGTTTGTGCCTTGTGTTACAAGATAAAGTAATATTTTAACACTGATGTATTTCTTTGCGCAAGATAAGTGTATCTGAAATGTGATTTTGAATATGATGGTATTAAATGATTATATGTTTGAAGTAAAGAAAATAATAACATAAAATTTTCATTCTAATTTTGTAATTTATATTTATTAAAATATTTTTAATGATAAAGGGAAGAATTCATAATTCTGAAATATTTTTTTATTACGCTGGCTTAGAAGCATGAGTGTTTTTAACGAAATGAAATCATATTTAATGTATAAATCTATAGGGTTTCTTCATATTAATAGTTGTATTTTATTAACAAATTAATGAATTATTATCTTTTAAATTGATATATAACAATTTTTATTATTAGATTTTATTTTTACGAATGATTTTTGTATTGCGTTGGCTCAAAAGCATGACTGTTTTTAACGGCAAATGGTTTAGTTGAAATCAAATGTTATTTTTGAAACTATAGGGATTGTTCATATTAATAGTTGTATTTTATTAACAAATTAATGAATTATTATCTTTTAAATTGATATATAAACATTTTTATTATTAGATTTTATTTTTACGAATGATTTTTGTATTGCGTTGGCTCAAAAGCATGACTGTTTTTAACGGCAAATGGTTTAGTTGAAATCAAATGTTATTTATAAATCTATAGGGATTGTTCATATTGATAGTTGTATTTAATAAACAAATTAATGAACTATTATCTTTCAAATTGATATATAAACATTTTTATTATTATCTAATTAAAACCATAATTTTTCCAAGATAACTTATTTTGCATTCATACAAAGTTAGACTTTGAGGGGCAATAAAAAATCATGAAATTATATAAAAGTAAGCAAAAATTAGTTTTATGAATTTTTCAAACATTTGAGAATACAATCTAATACATATTTAGTTTGGATATCTAATTTAAAATGTTTAAAAATACAAGTCAATAAAATGGTAATTGTAAACTTTTGCGTATCGTACATTCAATGGCACAAACATTCTCGTTCGGCCTTCCTCCTCGATTCTCATTCAAACGGGTGACCAAAATTCATGATATTTTCCAATTAACAAAAAATAAAACGTTTCGTTTCGTTTGTTATAAAGTGAATAATACAAAATGTCTGATTCCGCAGTTGCAGTATCCGCGTCCCCCCGTGACTCCCCAAACAGCCTCGGCTGAGAAGAAGGTGGCTGCTAAAAAGCCAGCATCTGCATCCGTATCTAAGGCAAAGAAAGCAGCGGTCCCTCCAACACACCCACCAACTCAGCAGATGGTGGATGCATCGATAAAAAATCTAAAGGAACGTGGAGGCTCATCCCTCTTGGCTATTAAGAAATATATCAGTGCCACTTACAAGTGCGATGCCCAGAAGCTAGCTCCATTCATTAAGAAGTACCTGAAGAATTCGGTTGCGAGTGGAAAGTTGATCCAAACAAAAGGGAAGGGTGCATCTGGTTCATTTAAGCTGTCTGCATCTTCTAAAAAGGAGCCCAAGCCAAAGGCATCCTCTATAGAGAAGAAATCTAAGAAGGTAACTGCATCGGCAGCAGCCAAAAAGAAGAGTATATCTGCCACCAAAAAAGTTAAGGGCGCTGCTGATAAGAAGTTATCAAAGGCTGTGGTGACCAAAAAGAGTACCGACAAAAAGAAAGCAGACAAAGCGAAGGCCAAAGATGCAAAGAAAGTAGGAACCATTAAAGCAAAGCCCACAACAGCAAAGGCGGCAAAGTCGAGCGCAGCAAAGCCAAAAACACCGAAACCTAAAACTACAAGTGCTAAGCCTAAAAGGTTGTCTCGGCAGCATCACCGAAAAAAGCAGCTGCTAAGAAGCCAAAAGCAAAAGCTACGTCCGCAACAAAGAAGTAATTTCACTTCGGAATTACTCGGCCGAATTTCAAAACTATGAAATTGGTAATTAATCAAAGTCCTTTTCAGGACTACTATTACATATTTCTTAGAGAAAAATACTTTCATAAGCGTATCTATAAGCCAATGAAAAAGGAGAGCGCCAATTTAAAGATCGTAAGGTAAAACAAATAAGAAAGCTCTAGTCGAGACTGCTCGACTACGAGATCTCCTGAACCCTTCGAGCAATAAATAAATAAATATATATATATATATATATATATATATATATATATATATATATATATATATATATATATATATATATATTATTGCTACATACAACACGCATGGGCTGCAGTGTGCGCTTACTATGAGAACGATCTTCATGAAACTTTCAGATCGTGCATCAATGCAATGCGTGCACTTACCAAAGTACAAGTCTCTAGTATTTGAAATACGCCTTTTACAAAAAAAGTGGGTGAGGGGGGTGGGGGTAAACTTTATCAAAAACAGAAGTTGTACAAAATGCATACAAGTATACATTTAAAAATTGGAGACTATCTTTAAAGATGTAGGAGATATAATTTAATAACTGATTTTCGATAAGGTTTTTTTTATCGATAAAAAGAACGGGATGAGTTATTGATTGTTAGTAATAAACTTGATATCCGCGCTGTAAATACGAACATTAAACAAAAATTGAAGTCTCTAGCTCTTCTATGTTCTGAAATCGACGCGTTCAAACATACGGACAGACGGACGGACGGACCGGGCCAAATCGACTCAACTCGTCGCCCTGATCAAGTATATACTTTGTGGGTCTGCCACGCCTCCTTCTGCCTGTTACATACATATCAACAAAACCATTATACCCTGATTTCCCATTGAAAATGGGCTCAGGGTATAAAAAGACAAACAAAAATTTTTTTCTGATAAGAATATTGCTCTTCACTCAGGAAGAGAGAGTTAGATTTGATAGTTGTACGTTCTTGTTGGGCATTTTTGGTACATTTGGTACATTCATTGAAATATTTAATATTCTTTGAAAAAAGATTTGTGGCCCTGAAAAGGGCCTTTTGCTTCTTCTTTTGGATGTTCTGCATACACCGAGGTAAGATTTACTTGGAGCTAGTGTACTTGGTTACTGCCTTTGTTCCTTCACTGACAGCGTGCTTGGCCAACTCTCCGGGCAACAGAAGACGGACTGCAGTTTGGATTTCCCGACTGGTAATCGTTGAACGTTTGTTGTAGTGTGCTAAACGAGAGGCCTCAGCAGCAATACGCTCAAAAATGTCGTTCACGAAGCTGTTCATGATGCTCATTGCTTTCGACGAGATTCCAGTGTCAGGATGGACCTGCTTTAGCACTTTGTAAATATAGATGGCATAACTTTCCTTCCTCTTGCGCTTCTTCTTCTTATCATTCTTGGTAATATTCTTCTGGGCCTTACCAGCCTTTTTGGCTGCCTTTCCACTTGTTTTAGGCGGCATTACTATTATTGTATTATTCACTCAAGTTCACTTTTACTCACTTCCCAAATGTTTGACAGAAATATAGAACTTGGTTAACGTTTGTAAGATTTTTCGAACAACGTTTTCATGTTTGCGCACAGCACAACTCACCCTCTTTAGCTGAAAAAGTAGGTAGGTAAAAAAGTATAAGTTGACATTGTTCGGGTTTTGGGCATTCGATTCTTGTTTGTTGAGTGAAAAAGTGTAAGAAGAATAAAAGGAATATAATGTCTGGTCGTGGTAAAGGTGGAAAAGTGAAGGGAAAGGCAAAGTCGCGCTCAAACCGCGCTGGCCTGCAGTTTCCCGTTGGTCGTATTCATCGGCTTCTTCGCAAGGGCAACTATGCCGAGCGTGTTGGTGCCGGTGCTCCAGTTTACTTGGCGGCTGTTATGGAATATTTGGCCGCTGAAGTTTTGGAGTTGGCTGGTAATGCAGCCCGCGACAACAAGAAAACCAGAATTATCCCTCGCCATCTGCAATTGGCCATCCGCAACGATGAAGAGTTGAATAAACTCCTTTCGGGCGTCACTATTGCCCAGGGCGGTGTGTTGCCTAACATCCAAGCAGTTCTGTTGCCCAAGAAGACCGAAAAGAAGGCTTAAATTACGAATTAGTGCACATGGAAACCAAACGTCCTTTTCAGGACGACCAAAAGTACAAAAGAGATGCGATTTTTCATATATTAGTCTACAAAAATAAGAACAAGTCGGGGGCGATACCGATTGCAGAAGACTCATTCACAGCCCAAACGCTGTCAACCAGAAACAGGGCATGATCCCATTAAAATTGGAAAATCATCGATAGCTATTGCTATGATCATTGCATCATTGCATCATTGCATTAAAATTACATACAATTTTGAATTAATAATATATATTTATATCCATATATTGGATACTGGCTTCAAGCTAGCAGCAGATCAGCGCGATTTTCCTATACATGTGCACACACTCATCGTCTATTCTATGCGTACAGACAGGAGCGCGCCTTTTCTCACATTCTTAGAATTTCGATTGATTTCTGGACTTTCTAGCCGTTACTGTAGTTTTGTCTGATGACGCTCTCTTATTATGCTATTCTATTTTAGTAACTGTCTGATGAAGCAAAATAGTGGCGCGGGTGCTAAGGGCGACGCAAATTATGTTATAGTAGGGGAGGTTCAAAACCTCTTCGATGCTATTATTATTATTATTATTTTGTTTTTTTTTTTCATACATATTTCGTTTTTTATAAAATAATTATTTTGTTGGGAAGGTGCGAGCTTGAATAAATGGCACTTAATACTTTTCTTTTTCTTAGTCGAATAATTTTATAAGTTTAAATTTGTTTCTTCTTAAACAGCCCTCAAATACATATACGCAAGTACATACATATGTATGTATATATGTATATAAGTCTGCTCGCATAGCATCAAGTATTCCAGCCTTATACACGCGCTCATGTGTATGTGTGTATGTATGCACACATAAATGCGTGCTCTAGCATATTCTAAGAATCTCGCAGCGATTGATTTGTCTTTGCATTGTTTTTGAATTTCCAGCTGCTACACTGGCTTTATTTTGCTATGTGGCGTCATAACAATAATGTGATTTCGTTTTAATTATTGTTTTTTAAAACGATGCGGTGGTGCTGTAGGCAGAAGCGCCGGCCATCTTTATTTTAGATATTTTGACATGAACATGCTATTCGGCTTGGGTGCGAGTTCAAATCCCGCGGAAAACTCGTTTTTGTAAATTGCAAATTTGTTTGTTATTTTAGTTTTTTTATATTTTATCAATTTTATAAAAATGTTTCCTTCCGTGCTATCAATGCCTATTAAGCCTATTTATGTGAACAAATACATAAATAGATGGATAAATGCCGATTGCGACGCCCCTAGTGGCCGTAGACTCCTCATATTTGGCCAGTTCTTAGAACGAGCAACCGGTAACCTAAATGCAAAATTTGAATTCTTACGCTCAAAAAATGTTAACATTACAGGGTATTTTTCGATATGCCACGCCCCCAAAGAAGCTTAAAAATTATTTTTGGGGCATCGATAGAGGAGTACTGGAGTACTGGTAGCCTCCTCAACTATCTCAACTCAACTATCAAAATTTAAAGCTTCTAGCTCTTAAACTGTAGGAGATATAAACTTTTGCGGTTTGCCACGCCCCCAATGGGCGGAGATATATCTACCATAGCTCGTTGGACTTGGGTGGTCAACCCGCGTATATATACCAAATTTCAGGTCTCTAGCCGAATTCGAAAAATCACTATATCTTCAAGCCCCTAGTAGGCGTAGATATATAATTTTTTCACCCATCTTTATAGAATTAAAACATCAGCTTACGTGCCAAATTTCAGCATTCTAGGTTTATAACTTTAGGAGATAAAGTTTTGTCCGATTTGCCACGCCCTCAATGGGCGGAAAAATATCCGCCATAGCTCGTGATCTTGGGTGGTCGACGCGGACCTACAAACCAAATTTCAGCTTTCTAGCTCTGCAACAAAATAAAAATATAATTTAATAAGTAATAAGTGAGCAATTCAAAATATGCAGACATGTCACATGTGTGACTACCGTCACTGTACAGTCATTTACAGTACAGTACAGTCTCATTTATAATCATTCATGCTCAAAAGTTGGTTGCTGGTCATCGTTCGTCTGTTCTCATTTATTTCGCAGCTAGACAACTTTTATAACGGGTCTATATTAAGGACAATTATAATTGAATTTCGCATTTTTAAGCTCTTTTAATATTTTGGTGGTCCTGAAAAGGACCGATTGTTGTGAAAATAAGTTGCTTGTTATACTCGTTTTTTCTTAACCGCCAAAACCGTACAGTGTACGACCTTGCCTCTTCAATGCATAGACAACATCCATGGCTGTGACTGTCTTCCTCTTGGCATGTTCGGTATATGTGACAGCATCGCGAATAACATTTTCCAAAAGACCTTGAGAACGCCACGGGTTTCTTCATAGATTAGTCCAGAGATTCGCTTCACGCCACCACGACGAGCTAAACGACGGATAGCTGGCTTCGTGATACCCTGGATATTATCACGCAACACTTTGCGATGACGCTTTGCACCTCCTTTACCCAAGCCTTTGCCACCTTTACCACGACCAGTCATTTTTCACTTTTTATATATATATATATACGCACTTCACGAATGTCAGAAATACTATAATGCCTACGACCAGGCCCACTGCTATTTATACCGAAATATCCGAAAACTTGAGAGAGAGCACATAATGCTTGCATCCCGCTCACACACTACCCTTGCAACATTTACAACAGCCGAGTAGAGTAACACGATCACTATTTGTCGATCACGAATATGTCGATCTCTTTCTAACGCACCACCAGTTTGCTATATAAGAGTGTGGAATAATTTCGACCGATCATTGTGTTTAGAATTGTGTCAGTGTAAGGTTGAATTGAATTGAAGTGAAAAATGGCTCGTACAAAGCAGACCGCTCGGAAGTCTACTGGAGGCAAGGCTCCTCGTAAGCAGTTGGCTACTAAGGCAGCACGTAAAAGTGCGCCAGCTACTGGCGGTGTGAAAAAACCTCATCGCTATCGCCCTGGTACAGTTGCTCTGCGTGAAATTCGTCGTTACCAGAAGAGCACAGAATTGCTTATACGCAAGTTGCCGTTCCAGCGTTTAGTCCGTGAAATCGCTCAGGATTTCAAGACTGACCTTCGTTTCCAAAGCTCAGCTGTAATGGCTCTGCAGGAAGCTAGCGAAGCCTACTTGGTTGGCCTATTCGAAGATACAAATTTGTGCGCCATTCATGCCAAACGCGTCACGATCATGCCCAAGGACATTCAACTGGCCAGACGTATCCGTGGCGAGCGCGCTTAAATTGCTTCGCTATTCTCTTTTGTAGATATTACAAGCAACATCCAACAAATCGGTCCTTTTCAGGACCACAATATTTCTAACAAGGAGATTTCTATTTTCGCTTCAACTTTTTTCAATTTTTCGATTTCAGTTGATCTCAAAAATAAATCGATCGATCATAGATATAAAATGTAATATAAAGAAAGTCTTTTGTTTTTAAATAGCACAAGCACAATATAGCTTTATTTGATTTTCAAAAATTGCATTTTTATAAGGCGTTTAGTGTTACAGTGGTAAGCCAATTGCTTTTCAATTCAAATATGACATATTTCTGATTATGTGTCCTTAAAACATTTTTATATACAAGTAAAAAGTAAACTATATTAGTTTTTATATATTTTGTATAGTTTGTGCCTTGTGTTACAAGATAAAGTAATATTTTAACACTGATGTATTTCTTTGCGCAAGATAAGTGTATCTGAAATGTGATTTTGAATATGATGGTATGAAATGATTATATGTTTGAAGTAAAGAAAATAATAACATAAAATTTTCATTCTAATTTTGTAATTTATATTTATTAAAATATTTTTAATGTTAAAGGGAAGAATTCATAATTCTGAAATATTTTTTTATTACGCTGGCTTAGAAGCATGAGTGTTTTTAACGAAATGAAATCATATTTAATGTATAAATCTATAGGGTTTCTTCATATTAATAGTTGTATTTTATTAACAAATTAATGAATTATTATCTTTTAAATTGATATATAACAATTTTTATTATTAGATTTTATTTTTACGAATGATTTTTGTATTGCGTTGGCTCAAAAGCATGACTGTTTTTAACGGCAAATGGTTTAGTTGAAATCAAATGTTATTTTTGAAACTATAGGGATTGTTCATATTAATAGTTGTATTTTATTAACAAATTAATGAATTATTATCTTTTAAATTGATATATAAACATTTTTATTATTAGATTTTATTTTTACGAATGATTTTTGTATTGCGTTGGCTCAAAAGCATGACTGTTTTTTACGGCAAATGGTTTAGTTGAAATCAAATGTTATTTATAAATCTATAGGGATTGTTCATATTGATAGTTGTATTTAATAAACAAATTAATGAACTATTATCTTTCAAATTGATATATAAACATTTTTATTATTATCTAATTAAAACCATAAGTTTTCCAAGATAACTTATTTTGCATTCATACAAAGTTAGACTTTGAGGGGCAATAAAAAATCATGAAATTATATAAAAGTAAGCAAAAATTTGTTTTATGAATTTTTCAAACATTTGAGAATACAATCTAATACATATTTAGTTTGGATATCTAATTTAAAATGTTTAAAAATACAAGTCAATAAAATGGTAATTGTAAACTTTTGCGTATCGTACATTCAATGGCACAAACTTTCTCGTTCGGCCTTCCTCCTCGATTCTCATTCAAACGGGTGACCAAAATTCATGATATTTTCCAATTAACAAAAAATAAAACGTTTCGTTTCGTTTGTTATAAAGTGAATAATACAAAATGTCTGATTCCGCAGTTGCAGTATCCGCGTCCCCCGTGACTCCCCAAACAGCCTCGGCTGAGAAGAAGGTGGCTGCTAAAAAGCCAGCATCTGCATCCGTATCTAAGGCAAAGAAAGCAGCGGTCCCTCCAACACACCCACCAACTCAGCAGATGGTGGATGCATCGATAAAAAATCTAAAGGAACGTGGAGGCTCATCCCTCTTGGCTATTAAGAAATATATCAGTGCCACTTACAAGTGCGATGCCCAGAAGCTGGCTCCATTCATTAAGAAGTACCTGAAGAATTCGGTTGCGAGTGGAAAGTTGATCCAAACAAAAGGGAAGGGTGCATCTGGTTCATTTAAGCTGTCTGCATCTTCTAAAAAGGAGCCCAAGCCAAAGGCATCCCTCTATAGAGAAGAAATCTAAGAAGGTAACTGCATCGGCAGCAGCCAAAAAGAAGAGTATATCTGCCACCAAAAAGTTAAGGGCGCTGCTGATAAGAAGTTATCAAAGGCTGTGGTGACCAAAAAGAGTACCGACAAAAAGAAAGCAGACAAAGCGAAGGCCAAAGATGCAAAGAAAGTAGGAACCATTAAAGCAAAGCCCACAACAGCAAAGGCGGCAAAGTCGAGCGCAGCAAAAGCCAAAAAACACCGAAACCTAAAACTACAAGTGCTAAGCCTAAAAGGTTGTCTCGGCAGCATCACCGAAAAAAGCAGCTGCTAAGAAGCCAAAAGCAAAAGCTACGTCCGCAACAAAGAAGTAATTTCACTTCGGAATTACTCGGCCGAATTTCAAAACTATGAAATTCGCAATTAATCAAAGTCCTTTTCAGGACTACTATTACATATTTCTTAGAGAAAAAATACTTTCATAAGCGTATGTATAAGCCAATGAAAAAGGAGAGCGCCAATTTAAAGATCGTAAGGTAAAACAAGTAAGAAAGCTCTAGTCGAGACTGCTCGACTACGAGATCACCTGAACCCTTGGAGCAATAACTGTATATATATATATATATATATATATATATATATATATACAAGCAACACTCATGGGCTGCAGTGTGCGCTTACTATGAGAACGATCTTCATGAAACTTTGAGATCGTGCATCAATGCAATGCGTGCACTTACCAAAGTACAAGTCTCTAGTATTTGAAATACGCCTTTTACAAAAAAGTGGGTGAGGGGGTGGGGGGTAAACTTTATCAAAAACAGAAGTTGTACAAAATGCATACAAGTATACATTTAAAAATTGGAGACTATCTTTAAAGATGTAGGAGATATAATTTAATAACTGATTTCAGTCTTGTGCTAGCTCTCTTACTGTACGCACGTACCTAAGGATTAGCTTGTCAAAGAAAATAAAAATAAAAACAAGTCCACGATTAAAAGAACAAAACGAACTTTATCTCCAGGGGACACCGTTATGTCGCCCAAAGTAAAGCGCACTGCGCTAAAAATAGACACTGGTCAGCGACCAAACGCCAACAAAAACTACTACTCGCCGTTGCAAACACTAATACAACCAAACGACGAGATCGAAATCACTGATAATAATGAAGATGAGCTCGAGCAAATCAGTTCTAAAAACAAAGTGTATGTTCCCCCAATAACGGTCCTCAAATGCACAGTGGATCAAATTCATAATATCTGCAAACAAATTAATTGCACTAAATATTCCATCAAAAAGATTTCAATTGGAATCAAGCTCCACTGCGTCGATATAAATGACCATAAAGCCGCGTGCAGTGTAATGCATGGAAAATTTGAATATTTCTCCTACGCCGATAAAAATGACAGGCCATACAAAGCACTGCTGTTGGGGCTAGATAAAATGGATCCCTCTTCATTAAAAAATGAGCTTATCGGTCTTGGTCTAAACTGTCTAGATGTTAAACTGGTTCAGCGAAAAAGACCAAACAACACTGTCCTAATTCTATACGTGGTCTTCTTCACCAAAAAATCCATCACACTCAATGAGCTTAGAAAAAACCACTCAGTTATCAACTATGTAAGAGTGAAGTGGGAGTATCAAAAGAAATCCAGTCACCAAATAACTCAATGCTACAACTGCCAAATGTTTGGTCATGGCTCAAACCGCTGCGCCGTGAAGTCGTATTGCTCTAACTGCGCTGGACCTCACAAAACCGCTGAATGTCCGGATGGATCTACTGTTAAATGTGCCAACTGTAATGGTTCACATAAATCCAACGACGCTAACTGCCCTAGTAGGATTAGTTACCTAAATCTAAGATCTCAATATCGGTCGCATCAAGTAAGACCCAATCGTACTAATATTTCTTTGCCACCACAGCTTGATTACTCCAATGCGTTCCCTAATACGCTAAGTAAATCAAATTTTCATTCAAGCGCCAGATGGGTTAACCATAATGGCAATCACACTCCTAATGTCAACAAGGATCTTTTCTCTTTGGAGGAGATCAAGTCCCTTACATTTGAGCTTATAAAAAACTTAAGAAACTGCAAGACCAAGGCAGACCAATTCGAATTAATAACATCATTGGCATGCAAGTTCGTACATAATGTTTGATCATCTCTCAATTATAACTTGGAACGCTAGAGGCGTTAAAAATAAGAAAGATGAGCTTTTTGCTTTCTTAAATAGAGAAAATGTAGATATCTGTCTACTAACTGAATCCTGGCTTAACAGCTCATTATCAATTAAAAACAATAATTACTTTTGTTACAGATGTGACAGATCTAGTAGAAGAGGAGGAGGGGGTTGCCATTATTATTAAAAAATCTATTCGCCATACCCTGCTTCCCCTCCCTAACACAAATTTAATCGAATCTATTGGCATAAATATTACCATTAACGGAACTACCTGCACTTCACTGTTTTGCTGTTATTTTGGTGGTGGTCGAGCGGACCCCCTTCAAAAACAAATCTTTACAAATGATTTGCGACTATTAACCCGCACTCCTGGAAACTTAGTGTTAGGGAGGAGATTTTAATAGCCGACACAGGCTCTGGGGCTGTAACCGAGCAAATGTCTGGGGATCATTGCTGTACAACTTCTCATTATCTCGTGGACTTACAGTTCATTTCCCTAATGAACACTCTTATGTACCAGCGAGTGCTAGATATCAATCGTCTACGCTAGACTTATTTGTTTCAAACAACTGTCAACTGTTATCCAATACTATAGCAATAAATGATCTAGGCTCGGATCATCTCCCTGTCCAAACAATACTGCACTCAAATTACACTAAAGTTAAAAAAATTCTTCTATGATATCAAAAACGCAAACTGGACTGTGTTTGGTAGAACAATCAACCGACTATTACCAGACTGCGACTCCTTCCCCGCTAGTTCGCAGGACGACATAGACAATTTAATAAATTTGTTTAGCTTAGTGATCGTTGCAGCTAAAGAGCACAGTATTCCTAAAAGAGAAATCAAATCTTCTCCCAAAGCTCTACCTCCTAATATAATCTCTCTAATAAAACTTAGAAACAGGCACCGTCGAAATTGGTTGAGACGCAGAAATATATGTGATCTGACTCTAGTTAGATGGTTCAGCCAACTAGTTAATATTGAATTATCCAAACTCAGAAACGAGAACTGGAATAATCTCTTATCCTCGCTAAAAAAAATTCTTCCCCCTTTTGGAAGCTTTCAAAAGTCATCAAGAAGAAATACAGTGGAATACCCACACTCACACACAATCAGCAAAATTTCGTAAGTGCCGATAAGAAAGTCGAACTATTAGCATCATTGTTCGCCTTGAACCATTCGCACTCAGCTAACCTCGGTGATCCATCCACTAGCTCTGAGGTCAACAGTTTCACGGGGTTATTGGACTCCCTGCCTGTTGACCACGACGAATCATACCTGACAAATGTCCATGAGGTATCTTCGATTTTAAAAGAGCTTAAATCCAAGAAGACTCCAGGTCTGGATAACATTGAAAATGTGTGCCTAAAAGCCCTCCCTCGTAAAGGAGTCAAATTTCTTTCATTCCTTATTAATGAGTGCCTACGCCTCGGATATTTTCCACATAAATGGAAGATCTCTAAAGTCATTCCCATCTTAAAGGCAAACAAGCCTCCTGAATGCCCTACATCATATAGACCAATAAGTCTGCTTTCATCAGTCAGTAAAATCCTAGAGAAAGTCATTAAGAAAAGATTAGTTGACTTTACTGAAAGTAATAATGTCCTTTCGCCTCTTCAGTATGGCTTCCGTCGTGAACACAATACCATTCAACCTCTGGGTAGAATTAAAAAAATTGTCAAGGCCAATTTTAGTAGTTCCAAATCTACGGGTATGGTCTTGCTAGACATTAAAGCGGCCTTTGACTCTGTATGGCATGAAGGACTTGTGTACAAAATGAACCTCTTACATTTCCCATTGCAGATTATTAAAATAATACGCAGTTTCTTGAAAGACAGATTCTTTACAGTGTACATAGGCGATGCTCATTCACGTGCAAGTTATATTCCTGCAGGTTGCCCGCAAGGATCCTGCCTCTCCCCAATATTATATAATATCTATACATCCGACTTCCCTGCTTTAAGTGGATGCACGGCATCCATTTTCGCTGATGATACGGCAATCCTTTGCTCTGGTAAACTGGCAACCGATATCTCAGATTCTCTCCAAGCAGCCTTTAACGTTCTAGTTGCGTACTTTACTAAGTGGAAAATTCTTATAAATCCGGAAAAAACCCAAGCAATATACTTTACAAGAAATAGGAAAAATAATTATATTCCTCTACATCCTATTAATCTAAGCCAAGTAGACATTAACTGGGAGAACAATGTTAAATATCTTGGTGTCTTGTTAGACAAAAAATTAACTTTTTCTGATCACGTCCAATTTATTATTAAAAAAACAAATATATTAATTAAAGTGTTATATCCATTCATAAATAGGAACTCTCGACTAAGTTTAGAAAATAAAATGTACCTATTTAGATCAATTTTCCAGTCCACAATTTTTTACGGGGCTCCGGTTTGGGCTGATATAGCTAAGACTCATATCTGTAAAATCCAAGTCTTGCAAAACAAAATATTAAAAAGAATATTTAATCTCCCGTGGCATTACCCTACTGCGGAGCTACACTATATTGCCAGAGTCGAACTAGCGTCAGATAGATTGACTAAGTTGCACACAAATTTTGTAACCCGTTGTAGTTATTCATCTTACCTACATTTACAAAACAGTAATGAACCCTTATAAGCAATAAGCAATTAGTCTTAATTTTAATTTTAAGTTTTTAGTCTTTAAGTCAATTTACGAGGTTTTTGTTTATACTTTTCCTTCAAAAATAATGTTTCTAAATGTAATTAAATTTCCTGAACAAATAATATTAACATTTAAGCAGAAAAGGTTTATGGCCTGTACTCTTAACTTTCACATGTAAATCACTCACACTTGTGTAAATACTGATATAAAATAAAGTGTTCCTTATAAATAAATAAATAAATAAATAACTGATTTTCGATAAGGTTTTTTTTATCGATAAAAAGAACGGGATGAGTTATTGATTGTTAGTAATAAACTTGATATCCGCGCTGTAAATACGAACATTAAACAAAAATTGAAGTCTCTAGCTCTTCTATGTTCTGAAATCGACGCGTTCAAACATACGGACAGACGGACGGACGGACCGGGCCAAATCGACTCAACTCGTCGCCCTGATCAAGAATATATATACTTTGTGGGTCTGCCACGCCTCCTTCTGCCTGTTACATACATATCAACAAAACCATTATACCCTGATTTCCCATTGAAAATGGGCTCAGGGTATAAAAAGACAAACAAAAATTTTTTTCTGATAAGAATATTGCTCTTCACTCAGGAAGAGAGAGTTAGATTTGATAGTTGTACGTTCTTGTTGGGCATTTTTGGTACATTTGGTACATTCATTGAAATATTTAATATTCTTTGAAAAAAGATTTGTGGCCCTGAAAAGGGCCTTTTGCTTCTTCTTTTGGATGTTCTGCATACACCGAGGTAAGATTTACTTGGAGCTAGTGTACTTGGTTACTGCCTTTGTTCCTTCACTGACAGCGTGCTTGGCCAACTCTCCGGGCAACAGAAGACGGACTGCAGTTTGGATTTCCCGACTGGTAATCGTTGAACGTTTGTTGTAGTGTGCTAAACGAGAGGCCTCAGCAGCAATACGCTCAAAAATGTCGTTCACGAAGCTGTTCATGATGCTCATTGCTTTCGACGAGATTCCAGTGTCAGGATGGACCTGCTTTAGCACTTTGTAAATATAGATGGCATAACTTTCCTTCCTCTTGCGCTTCTTCTTCTTATCATTCTTGGTAATATTCTTCTGGGCCTTACCAGCCTTTTTGGCTGCCTTTCCACTTGTTTTAGGCGGCATTACTATTATTGTATTATTCACTCAAGTTCACTTTTACTCACTTCCCAAATGTTTGACAGAAATATAGAACTTGGTTAACGTTTGTAAGATTTTTCGAACAACGTTTTCATGTTTGCGCACAGCACAACTCACCCTCTTTAGCTGAAAAAGTAGGTAGGTAAAAAAGTATAAGTTGACATTGTTCGGGTTTTGGGCATTCGATTCTTGTTTGTTGAGTGAAAAAGTGTAAGAAGAATAAAAGGAATATAATGTCTGGTCGCGGTAAAGGTGGAAAAGTGAAGGGAAAGGCAAAGTCGCGCTCAAACCGCGCTGGCCTGCAGTTTCCCGTTGGTCGTATTCATCGGCTTCTTCGCAAGGGCAACTATGCCGAGCGTGTTGGTGCCGGTGCTCCAGTTTACTTGGCGGCTGTTATGGAATATTTGGCCGCTGAAGTTTTGGAGTTGGCTGGTAATGCAGCCCGCGACAACAAGAAAACCAGAATTATCCCTCGCCATCTGCAATTGGCCATCCGCAACGATGAAGAGTTGAATAAACTCCTTTCGGGCGTCACTATTGCCCAGGGCGGTGTGTTGCCTAACATCCAAGCAGTTCTGTTGCCCAAGAAGACCGAAAAGAAGGCTTAAATTACGAATTAGTGCACATGGAAACCAAACGTCCTTTTCAGGACGACCAAAAGTACAAAAGAGATGCGATTTTTCATATATTAGTCTACAAAAATAAGAACAAGTCGGGGGCGATACCGATTGCAGAAGACTCATTCACAGCCCAAACGCTGTCAACCAGAAACAGGGCATGATCCCATTAAAATTGGAAAATCATCGATAGCTATTGCTATGATCATTGCATCATTGCATCATTGCATTAAAATTACATACAATTTTGAATTAATAATATATATTTATATCCATATATTGGATACTGGCTTCAAGCTAGCAGCAGATCAGCGCGATTTTCCTATACATGTGCACACACTCATCGTCTATTCTATGCGTACAGACAGGAGCGCGCCTTTTCTCACATTCTTAGAATTTCGATTGATTTCTGGACTTTCTAGCCGTTACTGTAGTTTTGTCTGATGACGCTCTCTTATTATGCTATTCTATTTTAGTAACTGTCTGATGAAGCAAAATAGTGGCGCGGGTGCTAAGGGCGACGCAAATTATGTTATAGTAGGGGAGGTTCAAAACCTCTTCGATGCTATTATTATTATTATTATTTTTTTTTTTTTTCATACATATTTCGTTTTTTATAAAATAATTATTTTGTTGGGAAGGTGCGAGCTTGAATAAATGGCACTTAATACTTTTCTTTTTCTTAGTCGAATAATTTTATAAGTTTAAATTTGTTTCTTCTTAAACAGCCCTCAAATACATATACGCAAGTACATACATATGTATGTATATATGTATATAAGTCTGCTCGCATAGCATCAAGTATTCCAGCCTTATACACGCGCTCATGTGTATGTGTGTATGTATGCACACATAAATGCGTGCTCTAGCATATTCTAAGAATCTCGCAGCGATTGATTTGTCTTTGCATTGTTTTTGAATTTCCAGCTGCTACACTGGCTTTATTTTGCTATGTGGCGTCATAACAATAATGTGATTTCGTTTTAATTATTGTTTTTTAAAACGATGCGGTGGTGCTGTAGGCAGAAGCGCCGGCCATCTTTATTTTAGATATTTTGACATGAACATGCTATTCGGCTTGGGTGCGAGTTCAAATCCCGCGGAAAACTCGTTTTTGTAAATTGCAAATTTGTTTGTTATTTTAGTTTTTTTATATTTTATCAATTTTATAAAAATGTTTCCTTCCGTGCTATCAATGCCTATTAAGCCTATTTATGTGAACAAATACATAAATAGATGGCTGACGCATATAAATGCCGCAATATGGGCACAATAAATGCCGATTGCGACGCCCCTAGTGGCCGTAGACTCCTCATATTTGGCCAGTTCTTAGAACGAGCAACCGGTAACCTAAATGCAAAATTTGAATTCTTACGCTCAAAAAATGTTAACATTACAGGGTATTTTTCGATATGCCACGCCCCCAAAGAAGCTTAAAAATTATTTTTGGGGCATCGATAGAGGAGTACTGGAGTACTGGTAGCCTCCTCAACTATCTCAACTCAACTATCAAAATTTAAAGCTTCTAGCTCTTAAACTGTAGGAGATATAAACTTTTGCGGTTTGCCACGCCCCCAATGGGCGGAGATATATCTACCATAGCTCGTTGGACTTGGGTGGTCAACCCGCGTATATATACCAAATTTCAGGTCTCTAGCCGAATTCGAAAAATCACTATATCTTCAAGCCCCTAGTAGGCGTAGATATATAATTTTTTCACCCATCTTTATAGAATTAAAACATCAGCTTACGTGCCAAATTTCAGCATTCTAGGTTTATAACTTTAGGAGATAAAGTTTTGTCCGATTTGCCACGCCCTCAATGGGCGGAAAAATATCCGCCATAGCTCGTGATCTTGGGTGGTCGACGCGGACCTACAAACCAAATTTCAGCTTTCTAGCTCTGCAACAAAATAAAAATATAATTTAATAAGTAATAAGTGAGCAATTCAAAATATGCAGACATGTCACATGTGTGACTACCGTCACTGTACAGTCATTTACAGTACAGTACAGTCTCATTTATAATCATTCATGCTCAAAAGTTGGTTGCTGGTCATCGTTCGTCTGTTCTCATTTATTTCGCAGCTAGACAACTTTTATAACGGGTCTATATTAAGGACAATTATAATTGAATTTCGCATTTTTAAGCTCTTTTAATATTTTGGTGGTCCTGAAAAGGACCGATTGTTGTGAAAATAAGTTGCTTGTTATACTCGTTTTTTCTTAACCGCCAAAACCGTACAGTGTACGACCTTGCCTCTTCAATGCATAGACAACATCCATGGCTGTGACTGTCTTCCTCTTGGCATGTTCGGTATATGTGACAGCATCGCGAATAACATTTTCCAAAAAGACCTTGAGAACGCCACGGGTTTCTTCATAGATTAGTCCAGAGATTCGCTTCACGCCACCACGACGAGCTAAACGACGGATAGCTGGCTTCGTGATACCCTGGATATTATCACGCAACACTTTGCGATGACGCTTTGCACCTCCTTTACCCAAGCCTTTGCCACCTTTACCACGACCAGTCATTTTTCACTTTTATGTATATATATATACGCACTTCACGAATGTCAGAAATACAATAATGCCTACGATCAGGCCCACTGCTATTTATACCGAAATATCCGAAAACTTGAGAGAGCACATAATGCTTGCATCCCGCTCACACACTACCCTTGCAACATTTACAACAGCCGAGTAGAGTAACACGATCACTATTTGTCGATCACGAATATGTCGATCTCTTTCTAACGCACCACCAGTTTGCTATATAAGAGTGTGGAATAATTTCGACCGATCATTGTGTTTAGAATTGTGTCAGTGTAAGGTTGAATTGAATTGAAGTGAAAAATGGCTCGTACAAAGCAGACCGCTCGGAAGTCTACTGGAGGCAAGGCTCCTCGTAAGCAGTTGGCTACTAAGGCAGCACGTAAAAGTGCGCCAGCTACTGGCGGTGTGAAAAAACCTCATCGCTATCGCCCTGGTACAGTTGCTCTGCGTGAAATTCGTCGTTACCAGAAGAGCACAGAATTGCTTATACGCAAGTTGCCGTTCCAGCGTTTAGTCCGTGAAATCGCTCAGGATTTCAAGACTGACCTTCGTTTCCAAAGCTCAGCTGTAATGGCTCTGCAGGAAGCTAGCGAAGCCTACTTGGTTGGCCTATTCGAAGATACAAATTTGTGCGCCATTCATGCCAAACGCGTCACGATCATGCCCAAGGACATTCAACTGGCCAGACGTATCCGTGGCGAGCGCGCTTAAATTGCTTCGCTATTCTCTTTTGTAGATATTACAAGCAACATCCAACAAATCGGTCCTTTTCAGGACCACAATATTTCTAACAAGGAGATTTCTATTTTCGCTTCAACTTTTTTCAATTTTTCGATTTCAGTTGATCTCAAAAATAAATCGATCGATCATAGATATAAAATGTAATATAAAGAAAGTCTTTTGTTTTTAAATAGCACAATATAGCTTTATTTGATTTTCAAAAATTGCATTTTTATAAGGCGTTTAGTGTTACAGTGGTAAGCCAATTGCTTTTCAATTCAAATATGACATATTTCTGATTATGTGTCCTTAAAACATTTTTATATACAAGTAAAAAGTAAACTATATTAGTTTTTATATATTTTGTATAGTTTGTGCCTTGTGTTACAAGATAAAGTAATATTTTAACACTGATGTATTTCTTTGCGCAAGATAAGTGTATCTGAAATGTGATTTTGAATATGATGGTATTAAATGATTATATGTTTGAAGTAAAGAAAATAATAACATAAAATTTTCATTCTAATTTTGTAATTTATATTTATTAAAATATTTTTAATGATAAAGGGAAGAATTCATAATTCTGAAATATTTTTTTATTACGCTGGCTTAGAAGCATGAGTGTTTTTAACGAAATGAAATCATATTTAATGTATAAATCTATAGGGTTTCTTCATATTAATAGTTGTATTTTATTAACAAATTAATGAATTATTATCTTTTAAATTGATATATAACAATTTTTATTATTAGATTTTATTTTTACGAATGATTTTTGTATTGCGTTGGCTCAAAAGCATGACTGTTTTTAACGGCAAATGGTTTAGTTGAAATCAAATGTTATTTTTGAAACTATAGGGATTGTTCATATTAATAGTTGTATTTTATTAACAAATTAATGAATTATTATCTTTTAAATTGATATATAAACATTTTTATTATTAGATTTTATTTTTTACGAATGATTTTTTGTATTGCGTTGGCTCAAAAGCATGACTGTTTTTAACGGCAAATGGTTTAGTTGAAATCAAATGTTATTTATAAATCTATAGGGATTGTTCATATTGATAGTTGTATTTAATAAACAAATTAATGAACTATTATCTTTCAAATTGATATATAAACATTTTTATTATTATCTAATTAAAACCATAATTTTTCCAAGATAACTTATTTTGCATTCATACAAAGTTAGACTTTGAGGGGCAATAAAAAATCATGAAATTATATAAAAGTAAGCAAAAATTAGTTTTATGAATTTTTCAAACATTTGAGAATACAATCTAATACATATTTAGTTTGGATATCTAATTTAAAATGTTTAAAAATACAAGTCAATAAAATGGTAATTGTAAACTTTTGCGTATCGTACATTCAATGGCACAAACATTCTCGTTCGGCCTTCCTCCTCGATTCTCATTCAAACGGGTGACCAAAATTCATGATATTTTCCAATTAACAAAAAATAAAACGTTTCGTTTCGTTTGTTATAAAGTGAATAATACAAAATGTCTGATTCCGCAGTTGCAGTATCCGCGTCCCCCGTGACTCCCCAAACAGCCTCGGCTGAGAAGAAGGTGGCTGCTAAAAAGCCAGCATCTGCATCCGTATCTAAGGCAAAGAAAGCAGCGGTCCCTCCAACACACCCACCAACTCAGCAGATGGTGGATGCATCGATAAAAAATCTAAAGGAACGTGGAGGCTCATCCCTCTTGGCTATTAAGAAATATATCAGTGCCACTTACAAGTGCGATGCCCAGAAGCTAGCTCCATTCATTAAGAAGTACCTGAAGAATTCGGTTGCGAGTGGAAAGTTGATCCAAACAAAAGGGAAGGGTGCATCTGGTTCATTTAAGCTGTCTGCATCTTCTAAAAAGGAGCCCAAGCCAAAGGCATCCTCTATAGAGAAGAAATCTAAGAAGGTAACTGCATCGGCAGCAGCCAAAAAGAAGAGTATATCTGCCACCAAAAAAGTTAAGGGCGCTGCTGATAAGAAGTTATCAAAGGCTGTGGTGACCAAAAAGAGTACCGACAAAAAGAAAGCAGACAAAGCGAAGGCCAAAGATGCAAAGAAAGTAGGAACCATTAAAGCAAAGCCCACAACAGCAAAGGCGGCAAAGTCGAGCGCAGCAAAGCCAAAAACACCGAAACCTAAAACTACAAGTGCTAAGCCTAAAAAGGTTGTCTCGGCAGCATCACCGAAAAAAGCAGCTGCTAAGAAGCCAAAAGCAAAAGCTACGTCCGCAACAAAGAAGTAATTTCACTTCGGAATTACTCGGCCGAATTTCAAAACTATGAAATTGGTAATTAATCAAAGTCCTTTTCAGGACTACTATTACATATTTCTTAGAGAAAAAATACTTTCATAAGCGTATCTATAAGCCAATGAAAAAGGAGAGCGCCAATTTAAAGATCGTAAGGTAAAACAAATAAGAAAGCTCTAGTCGAGACTGCTCGACTACGAGATCTCCTGAACCCTTCGAGCAATAAATAAATAAATATATATATATATATATATATATATATATATATATATATATATATATATTTATATATATATATATATATATATATATACAAGCAACACGCATGGGCTGCAGTGTGCGCTTACTATGAGAACGATCTTCATGAAACTTTCAGATCGTGCATCAATGCAATGCGTGCACTTACCAAAGTACAAGTCTCTAGTATTTGAAATACGCCTTTTACAAAAAAGTGGGTGAGGGGGGTGGGGGGTAAACTTTATCAAAAACAGAAGTTGTACAAAATGCATACAAGTATACATTTAAAAATTGGAGACTATCTTTAAAGATGTAGGAGATATAATTTAATAACTGATTTTCGATAAGGTTTTTTTTATCGATAAAAAGAACGGGATGAGTTATTGATTGTTAGTAATAAACTTGATATCCGCGCTGTAAATACGAACATTAAACAAAAATTGAAGTCTCTAGCTCTTCTATGTTCTGAAATCGACGCGTTCAAACATACGGACAGACGGACGGACGGACCGGGCCAAATCGACTCAACTCGTCGCCCTGATCAAGTATATACTTTGTGGGTCTGCCACGCCTCCTTCTGCCTGTTACATACATATCAACAAAACCATTATACCCTGATTTCCCATTGAAAATGGGCTCAGGGTATAAAAAGACAAACAAAAATTTTTTTCTGATAAGAATATTGCTCTTCACTCAGGAAGAGAGAGTTAGATTTGATAGTTGTACGTTCTTGTTGGGCATTTTTGGTACATTTGGTACATTCATTGAAATATTTAATATTCTTTGAAAAAAAGATTTGTGGCCCTGAAAAGGGCCTTTTGCTTCTTCTTTTGGATGTTCTGCATACACCGAGGTAAGATTTACTTGGAGCTAGTGTACTTGGTTACTGCCTTTGTTCCTTCACTGACAGCGTGCTTGGCCAACTCTCCGGGCAACAGAAGACGGACTGCAGTTTGGATTTCCCGACTGGTAATCGTTGAACGTTTGTTGTAGTGTGCTAAACGAGAGGCCTCAGCAGCAATACGCTCAAAAATGTCGTTCACGAAGCTGTTCATGATGCTCATTGCTTTCGACGAGATTCCAGTGTCAGGATGGACCTGCTTTAGCACTTTGTAAATATAGATGGCATAACTTTCCTTCCTCTTGCGCTTCTTCTTCTTATCATTCTTGGTAATATTCTTCTGGGCCTTACCAGCCTTTTTGGCTGCCTTTCCACTTGTTTTTAGGCGGCATTACTATTATTGTATTATTCACTCAAGTTCACTTTTACTCACTTCCCAAATGTTTGACAGAAATATAGAACTTGGTTAACGTTTGTAAGATTTTTCGAACAACGTTTTCATGTTTGCGCACAGCACAACTCACCCTCTTTAGCTGAAAAAGTAGGTAGGTAAAAAAGTATAAGTTGACATTGTTCGGGTTTTGGGCATTCGATTCTTGTTTGTTGAGTGAAAAAGTGTAAGAAGAATAAAAGGAATATAATGTCTGGTCGTGGTAAAGGTGGAAAAGTGAAGGGAAAGGCAAAGTCGCGCTCAAACCGCGCTGGCCTGCAGTTTCCCGTTGGTCGTATTCATCGGCTTCTTCGCAAGGGCAACTATGCCGAGCGTGTTGGTGCCGGTGCTCCAGTTTACTTGGCGGCTGTTATGGAATATTTGGCCGCTGAAGTTTTGGAGTTGGCTGGTAATGCAGCCCGCGACAACAAGAAAACCAGAATTATCCCTCGCCATCTGCAATTGGCCATCCGCAACGATGAAGAGTTGAATAAACTCCTTTCGGGCGTCACTATTGCCCAGGGCGGTGTGTTGCCTAACATCCAAGCAGTTCTGTTGCCCAAGAAGACCGAAAAGAAGGCTTAAATTACGAATTAGTGCACATGGAAACCAAACGTCCTTTTCAGGACGACCAAAAGTACAAAAGAGATGCGATTTTTCATATATTAGTCTACAAAAATAAGAACAAGTCGGGGGCGATACCGATTGCAGAAGACTCATTCACAGCCCAAACGCTGTCAACCAGAAACAGGGCATGATCCCATTAAAATTGGAAAATCATCGATAGCTATTGCTATGATCATTGCATCATTGCATCATTGCATTAAAATTACATACAATTTTGAATTAATAATATATATTGGATACTGGCTTCAAGCTAGCAGCAGATCAGCGCGATTTTCCTATACATGTGCACACACTCATCGTCTATTCTATGCGTACAGACAGGAGCGCGCCTTTTCTCACATTCTTAGAATTTCGATTGATTTCTGGACTTTCTAGCCGTTACTGTAGTTTTGTCTGATGACGCTCTCTTATTATGCTATTCTATTTTAGTAACTGTCTGATGAAGCAAAATAGTGGCGCGGGTGCTAAGGGCGACGCAAATTATGTTATAGTAGGGGAGGTTCAAAACCTCTTCGATGCTATTATTATTATTATTATTTTTTTTTTTTTCATACATATTTCGTTTTTTTATAAAATAATTATTTTGTTGGGAAGGTGCGAGCTTGAATAAATGGCACTTAATACTTTTCTTTTTCTTAGTCGAATAATTTTATAAGTTTAAATTTGTTTCTTCTTAAACAGTCCTCAAATACATATACGCAAGTACATACATATGTATGTATATATGTATATAAGTCTGCTCGCATAGCATCAAGTATTCCAGCCTTATACACGCGCTCATGTGTATGTGTGTATGTATGCACACATAAATGCGTGCTCTAGCATATTCTAAGAATCTCGCAGCGATTGATTTGTCTTTGCATTGTTTTTGAATTTCCAGCTGCTACACTGGCTTTATTTTGCTATGTGGCGTCATAACAATAATGTGATTTCGTTTTAATTATTGTTTTTTAAAACGATGCGGTGGTGCTGTAGGCAGAAGCGCCGGCCATCTTTATTTTAGATATTTTGACATGAACATGCTATTCGGCTTGGGTGCGAGTTCAAATCCCGCGGAAAACTCGTTTTTGTAAATTGCAAATTTGTTTGTTATTTTAGTTTTTTTATATTTTATCAATTTTATAAAAATGTTTCCTTCCGTGCTATCAATGCCTATTAAGCCTATTTATGTGAACAAATACATAAATAGATGGATAAATGCCGATTGCGACGCCCCTAGTGGCCGTAGACTCCTCATATTTGGCCAGTTCTTAGAACGAGCAACCGGTAACCTAAATGCAAAATTTGAATTCTTACGCTCAAAAAATGTTAACATTACAGGGTATTTTTCGATATGCCACGCCCCCAAAGAAGCTTAAAAATTATTTTTGGGGCATCGATAGAGGAGTACTGGAGTACTGGTAGCCTCCTCAACTATCTCAACTCAACTATCAAAATTTAAAGCTTCTAGCTCTTAAACTGTAGGAGATATAAACTTTTGCGGTTTGCCACGCCCCCAATGGGCGGAGATATATCTACCATAGCTCGTTGGACTTGGGTGGTCAACCCGCGTATATATACCAAATTTCAGGTCTCTAGCCGAATTCGAAAAATCACTATATCTTCAAGCCCCTAGTAGGCGTAGATATATAATTTTTTCACCCATCTTTATAGAATTAAAACATCAGCTTACGTGCCAAATTTCAGCATTCTAGGTTTATAACTTTAGGAGATAAAGTTTTGTCCGATTTGCCACGCCCTCAATGGGCGGAAAAATATCCGCCATAGCTCGTGATCTTGGGTGGTCGACGCGGACCTACAAACCAAATTTCAGCTTTCTAGCTCTGCAACAAAATAAAAATATAATTTAATAAGTAATAAGTGAGCAATTCAAAATATGCAGACATGTCACATGTGTGACTACCGTCACTGTACAGTCATTTACAGTACAGTACAGTCTCATTTATAATCATTCATGCTCAAAAGTTGGTTGCTGGTCATCGTTCGTCTGTTCTCATTTATTTCGCAGCTAGACAACTTTTATAACGGGTCTATATTAAGGACAATTATAATTGAATTTCGCATTTTTAAGCTCTTTTAATATTTTGGTGGTCCTGAAAAGGACCGATTGTTGTGAAAATAAGTTGCTTGTTATACTCGTTTTTTCTTAACCGCCAAAACCGTACAGTGTACGACCTTGCCTCTTCAATGCATAGACAACATCCATGGCTGTGACTGTCTTCCTCTTGGCATGTTCGGTATATGTGACAGCATCGCGAATAACATTTTCCAAAAAGACCTTGAGAACGCCACGGGTTTCTTCATAGATTAGTCCAGAGATTCGCTTCACGCCACCACGACGAGCTAAACGACGGATAGCTGGCTTCGTGATACCCTGGATATTATCACGCAACACTTTGCGATGACGCTTTGCACCTCCTTTACCCAAGCCTTTGCCACCTTTACCACGACCAGTCATTTTTCACTTTTTATGTATATATATATATACGCACTTCACGAATGTCAGAAATACTATAATGCCTACGACCAGGCCCACTGCTATTTATACCGAAATATCCGAAAACTTGAGAGAGCACATAATGCTTGCATCCCGCTCACACACTACCCTTGCAACATTTACAACAGCCGAGTAGAGTAACACGATCACTATTTGTCGATCACGAATATGTCGATCTCTTTCTAACGCACCACCAGTTTGCTATATAAGCAATGCGCAATGACTTCGACCGATCATTGTGTTTAAAATTGTGTCAGTGTAAGGTTGAATTGTGAAAAATGGCTCGTACAAAGCAGACCGCTCGGAAGTCTACTGGAGGCAAGGCTCCTCGTAAGCAGTTGGCTACTAAGGCAGCACGTAAAAGTGCGCCAGCTACTGGCGGTGTGAAAAAACCTCATCGCTATCGCCCTGGTACAGTTGCTCTGCGTGAAATTCGTCGTTACCAGAAGAGCACAGAATTGCTTATACGCAAGTTGCCGTTCCAGCGTTTAGTCCGTGAAATCGCTCAGGATTTCAAGACTGACCTTCGTTTCCAAAGCTCAGCTGTAATGGCTCTGCAGGAAGCTAGCGAAGCCTACTTGGTTGGCCTATTCGAAGATACAAATTTGTGCGCCATTCATGCCAAACGCGTCACGATCATGCCCAAGGACATTCAACTGGCCAGACGTATCCGTGGCGAGCGCGCTTAAATTGCTTCGCTATTCTCTTTTGTAGATATTACAAGCAACATCCAACAAATCGGTCCTTTTCAGGACCACAATATTTCTAACAAGGAGATTTCTATTTTCGCTTCAACTTTTTCAATTTTTCGATTTCAGTTGATCTCAAAAATAAATCGATCGATCATAGATATAAAATGTAATATAAAGAAAGTCTTTTGTTTTTAAATAGCACAAGCACAATATAGCTTTATTTGATTTTCAAAAATTGCATTTTTATAAGGCGTTTAGTGTTACAGTGGTAAGCCAATTGCTTTTCAATTCAAATATGACATATTTCTGATTATGTGTCCTTAAAACATTTTTATATACAAGTAAAAAGTAAACTATATTAGTTTTTATATATTTTGTATAGTTTGTGCCTTGTGTTACAAGATAAAGTAATATTTTAACACTGATGTATTTCTTTGCGCAAGATAAGTGTATCTGAAATGTGATTTTGAATATGATGGTATGAAATGATTATATGTTTGAAGTAAAGAAAATAATAACATAAAATTTTCATTCTAATTTTGTAATTTATATTTATTAAAATATTTTTAATGTTAAAGGGAAGAATTCATAATTCTGAAATATTTTTTTATTACGCTGGCTTAGAAGCATGAGTGTTTTTAACGAAATGAAATCATATTTAATGTATAAATCTATAGGGTTTCTTCATATTAATAGTTGTATTTTATTAACAAATTAATGAATTATTATCTTTTAAATTGATATATAACAATTTTTATTATTAGATTTTATTTTTACGAATGATTTTTGTATTGCGTTGGCTCAAAAGCATGACTGTTTTTAACGGCAAATGGTTTAGTTGAAATCAAATGTTATTTTTGAAACTATAGGGATTGTTCATATTAATAGTTGTATTTTTATTAACAAATTAATGAATTATTATCTTTTAAATTGATATATAAACATTTTTATTATTAGATTTTATTTTTACGAATGATTTTTGTATTGCGTTGGCTCAAAAGCATGACTGTTTTTTACGGCAAATGGTTTAGTTGAAATCAAATGTTATTTATAAATCTATAGGGATTGTTCATATTGATAGTTGTATTTAATAAACAAATTAATGAACTATTATCTTTCAAATTGATATATAAACATTTTTATTATTATCTAATTAAAACCATAAGTTTTCCAAGATAACTTATTTTGCATTCATACAAAGTTAGACTTTGAGGGGCAATAAAAAATCATGAAATTATATAAAAGTAAGCAAAAATTTGTTTTATGAATTTTTCAAACATTTGAGAATACAATCTAATACATATTTAGTTTGGATATCTAATTTAAAATGTTTAAAAATACAAGTCAATAAAATGGTAATTGTAAACTTTTGCGTATCGTACATTCAATGGCACAAACTTTCTCGTTCGGCCTTCCTCCTCGATTCTCATTCAAACGGGTGACCAAAATTCATGATATTTTCCAATTAACAAAAAATAAAACGTTTCGTTTCGTTTGTTATAAAGTGAATAATACAAAATGTCTGATTCCGCAGTTGCAGTATCCGCGTCCCCCGTGACTCCCCAAACAGCCTCGGCTGAGAAGAAGGTGGCTGCTAAAAAGCCAGCATCTGCATCCGTATCTAAGGCAAAGAAAGCAGCGGTCCCTCCAACACACCCACCAACTCAGCAGATGGTGGATGCATCGATAAAAAATCTAAAGGAACGTGGAGGCTCATCCCTCTTGGCTATTAAGAAATATATCAGTGCCACTTACAAGTGCGATGCCCAGAAGCTGGCTCCATTCATTAAGAAGTACCTGAAGAATTCGGTTGCGAGTGGAAAGTTGATCCAAACAAAAGGGAAGGGTGCATCTGGTTCATTTAAGCTGTCTGCATCTTCTAAAAAGGAGCCCAAGCCAAAGGCATCCTCTATAGAGAAGAAATCTAAGAAGGTAACTGCATCGGCAGCAGCCAAAAAGAAGAGTATATCTGCCACCAAAAAAGTTAAGGGCGCTGCTGATAAGAAGTTATCAAAGGCTGTGGTGACCAAAAAGAGTACCGACAAAAAGAAAGCAGACAAAGCGAAGGCCAAAGATGCAAAGAAAGTAGGAACCATTAAAGCAAAGCCCACAACAGCAAAGGCGGCAAAGTCGAGCGCAGCAAAGCCAAAAACACCGAAACCTAAAACTACAAGTGCTAAGCCTAAAAAGGTTGTCTCGGCAGCATCACCGAAAAAAGCAGCTGCTAAGAAGCCAAAAGCAAAAGCTACGTCCGCAACAAAGAAGTAATTTCACTTCGGAATTACTCGGCCGAATTTCAAAACTATGAAATTCGCAATTAATCAAAGTCCTTTTCAGGACTACTATTACATATTTCTTAGAGAAAAAATACTTTCATAAGCGTATGTATAAGCCAATGAAAAAGGAGAGCGCCAATTTAAAGATCGTAAGGTAAAACAAGTAAGAAAGCTCTAGTCGAGACTGCTCGACTACGAGATCACCTGAACCCTTGGAGCAATAATTATATATATATATATATATATATATATATATATATATACAAGCAACACTCATGGGCTGCAGTGTGCGCTTACTATGAGAACGATCTTCATGAAACTTTGAGATCGTGCATCAATGCAATGCGTGCACTTACCAAAGTACAAGTCTCTAGTATTTGAAATACGCCTTTTACAAAAAAGTGGGTGAGGGGGTGGGGGGTAAACTTTATCAAAAACAGAAGTTGTACAAAATGCATACAAGTATACATTTAAAAATTGGAGACTATCTTTAAAGATGTAGGAGATATAATTTAATAACTGATTTTCGATAAGGTTTTTTTTATCGATAAAAAGAACGGGATGAGTTATTGATTGTTAGTAATAAACTTGATATCCGCGCTGTAAATACGAACATTAAACAAAAATTGAAGTCTCTAGCTCTTCTATGTTCTGAAATCGACGCGTTCAAACATACGGACAGACGGACGGACGGACCGGGCCAAATCGACTCAACTCGTCGCCCTGATCAAGAATATATATACTTTGTGGGTCTGCCACGCCTCCTTCTGCCTGTTACATACATATCAACAAAACCATTATACCCTGATTTCCCATTGAAAATGGGCTCAGGGTATAAAAAGACAAACAAAAATTTTTTTCTGATAAGAATATTGCTCTTCACTCAGAAAGAGAGTTAGATTTGATAGTTGTACGTTCTTGTTGGGCATTTTTGGTACATTTGGTACATTTGGTACATTCATTGAAATATTTAATATTCTTTGAAAAAACGATTTGTGGCCCTGAAAAGGGCCTTTTGCTTCTTCTTTTAAATGTTCTGCATACACCGAGGTAAGATTTACTTGGAGCTAGTGTACTTGGTTACTGCCTTTGTTCCTTCACTGACAGCGTGCTTGGCCAACTCTCCGGGCAACAGAAGACGGACTGCAGTTTGGATTTCCCGACTGGTAATCGTTGAACGTTTGTTGTAGTGTGCCAAACGAGAGGCCTCAGCAGCAATACGCTCAAAAATGTCGTTCACGAAGCTGTTCATGATGCTCATTGCTTTCGACGAGATTCCAGTGTCAGGATGGACCTGCTTTAGCACTTTGTAAATATAGATGGCATAACTTTCCTTCCTCTTGCGCTTCTTCTTCTTATCATTCTTGGTAATATTCTTCTGGGCCTTACCAGCCTTTTTGGCTGCCTTTCCACTTGTTTTAGGCGGCATTACTATTATTGTATTATTCACTCAAGTTCACTTTTACTCACTTCCCAAATGTTTGACAGAAATATAGAACTTGGTTAACGTTTGTAAGATTTTTCGAACAACGTTTTCATGTTTGCGCACAGCACAACTCACCCTCTTTAGCTGAAAAAGTAGGTAGGTAAAAAAGTATAAGTTGACATTGTTCGGGTTTTGGGCATTCGATTCTTGTTTGTTGAGTGAAAAAGTGTAAGAAGAATAAAAGGAATATAATGTCTGGTCGCGGTAAAGGTGGAAAAGTGAAGGGAAAGGCAAAGTCGCGCTCAAACCGCGCTGGCCTGCAGTTTCCCGTTGGTCGTATTCATCGGCTTCTTCGCAAGGGCAACTATGCCGAGCGTGTTGGTGCCGGTGCTCCAGTTTACTTGGCGGCTGTTATGGAATATTTGGCCGCTGAAGTTTTGGAGTTGGCTGGTAATGCAGCCCGCGACAACAAGAAAACCAGAATTATCCCTCGCCATCTGCAATTGGCCATCCGCAACGATGAAGAGTTGAATAAACTCCTTTCGGGCGTCACTATTGCCCAGGGCGGTGTGTTGCCTAACATCCAAGCAGTTCTGTTGCCCAAGAAGACCGAAAAGAAGGCTTAAATTACGAATTAGTGCACATGGAAACCAAACGTCCTTTTCAGGACGACCAAAAGTACAAAAGAGATGCGATTTTTCATATATTAGTCTACAAAAATAAGAACAAGTCGGGGGCGATACCGATTGCAGAAGACTCATTCACAGCCCAAACGCTGTCAACCAGAAACAGGGCATGATCCCATTAAAATTGGAAAATCATCGATAGCTATTGCTATGATCATTGCATCATTGCATCATTGCATTAAAATTACATACAATTTTGAATTAATAATATATATTTATATCCATATATTGGATACTGGCTTCAAGCTAGCAGCAGATCAGCGCGATTTTCCTATACATGTGCACACACTCATCGTCTATTCTATGCGTACAGACAGGAGCGCGCCTTTTCTCACATTCTTAGAATTTCGATTGATTTCTGGACTTTCTAGCCGTTACTGTAGTTTTGTCTGATGACGCTCTCTTATTATGCTATTCTATTTTAGTAACTGTCTGATGAAGCAAAATAGTGGCGCGGGTGCTAAGGGCGACGCAAATTATGTTATAGTAGGGGAGGTTCAAAACCTCTTCGATGCTATTATTATTATTATTATTATTTTTTTTTTTTCATACATATTTCGTTTTTTATAAAATAATTATTTTGTTGGGAAGGTGCGAGCTTGAATAAATGGCACTTAATACTTTTCTTTTTCTTAGTCGAATAATTTTATAAGTTTAAATTTGTTTCTTCTTAAACAGCCCTCAAATACATATACGCAAGTACATACATATGTATGTATATATGTATATAAGTCTGCTCGCATAGCATCAAGTATTCCAGCCTTATACACGCGCTCATGTGTATGTGTGTATGTATGCACACATAAATGCGTGCTCTAGCATATTCTAAGAATCTCGCAGCGATTGATTTGTCTTTGCATTGTTTTTGAATTTCCAGCTGCTACACTGGCTTTATTTTGCTATGTGGCGTCATAACAATAATGTGATTTCGTTTTAATTATTGTTTTTTAAAACGATGCGGTGGTGCTGTAGGCAGAAGCGCCGGCCATCTTTATTTTAGATATTTTGACATGAACATGCTATTCGGCTTGGGTGCGAGTTCAAATCCCGCGGAAAACTCGTTTTTGTAAATTGCAAATTTGTTTGTTATTTTAGTTTTTTTATATTTTATCAATTTTATAAAAATGTTTCCTTCCGTGCTATCAATGCCTATTAAGCCTATTTATGTGAACAAATACATAAATAGATGGCTGACGCATATAAATGCCGCAATATGGGCACAATAAATGCCGATTGCGACGCCCCTAGTGGCCGTAGACTCCTCATATTTGGCCAGTTCTTAGAACGAGCAACCGGTAACCTAAATGCAAAATTTGAATTCTTACGCTCAAAAAATGTTAACATTACAGGGTATTTTTCGATATGCCACGCCCCCAAAGAAGCTTAAAAATTATTTTTGGGGCATCGATAGAGGAGTACTGGAGTACTGGTAGCCTCCTCAACTATCTCAACTCAACTATCAAAATTTAAAGCTTCTAGCTCTTAAACTGTAGGAGATATAAACTTTTTGCGGTTTGCCACGCCCCCAATGGGCGGAGATATATCTACCATAGCTCGTTGGACTTGGGTGGTCAACCCGCGTATATATACCAAATTTCAGGTCTCTAGCCGAATTCGAAAAATCACTATATCTTCAAGCCCCTAGTAGGCGTAGATATATAATTTTTTCACCCATCTTTATAGAATTAAAACATCAGCTTACGTGCCAAATTTCAGCATTCTAGGTTTATAACTTTAGGAGATAAAGTTTTGTCCGATTTGCCACGCCCTCAATGGGCGGAAAAATATCCGCCATAGCTCGTGATCTTGGGTGGTCGACGCGGACCTACAAACCAAATTTCAGCTTTCTAGCTCTGCAACAAAATAAAAATATAATTTAATAAGTAATAAGTGAGCAATTCAAAATATGCAGACATGTCACATGTGTGACTACCGTCACTGTACAGTCATTTACAGTACAGTACAGTCTCATTTATAATCATTCATGCTCAAAAGTTGGTTGCTGGTCATCGTTCGTCTGTTCTCATTTATTTCGCAGCTAGACAACTTTTATAACGGGTCTATATTAAGGACAATTATAATTGAATTTCGCATTTTTAAGCTCTTTTAATATTTTGGTGGTCCTGAAAAGGACCGATTGTTGTGAAAATAAGTTGCTTGTTATACTCGTTTTTTCTTAACCGCCAAAACCGTACAGTGTACGACCTTGCCTCTTCAATGCATAGACAACATCCATGGCTGTGACTGTCTTCCTCTTGGCATGTTCGGTATATGTGACAGCATCGCGAATAACATTTTCCAAAAAGACCTTGAGAACGCCACGGGTTTCTTCATAGATTAGTCCAGAGATTCGCTTCACGCCACCACGACGAGCTAAACGACGGATAGCTGGCTTCGTGATACCCTGGATATTATCACGCAACACTTTGCGATGACGCTTTGCACCTCCTTTACCCAAGCCTTTGCCACCTTTACCACGACCAGTCATTTTTCACTTTTTATGTATATATATATATACGCACTTCACGAATGTCAGAAATACTATAATGCCTACGACCAGGCCCACTGCTATTTATACCGAAATATCCGAAAACTTGAGAGAGCACATAATGCTTGCATCCCGCTCACACACTACCCTTGCAACATTTACAACAGCCGAGTAGAGTAACACGATCACTATTTGTCGATCACGAATATGTCGATCTCTTTCTAACGCACCACCAGTTTGCTATATAAGCAATGCGCAATGACTTCGACCGATCATTGTGTTTAAAATTGTGTCAGTGTAAGGTATACTTGGGTAAAAGCAGCTCATTGAGGTGAACCGGCTCACTCGCTCTTTTTTGTGAAGTGAGCCAACTCACTCATATGGCTCACTGGCTCACCTGCTGATTGCCCGTGAGCAAGCAACTTGAAAGAAAAAAACTGTCAAAATACGTTACATTTAAACTAAAAAAAACGACATTTAAAATTTGTTTCTTAAAACTAACAGAACAAACTTTTAATAAAATATATATTATTTTAGCTCCCTTCATTGGGAATATAATGAGCGAGTGAGTAAAAATGCGCTAGTCAACCAAAATGAGCTAGTGAGCCAAAATGAGCCATATAGAAGGAACTGGCTCACTGCCTCAGTTCAGTGAGCCATTCATTTTAGCTCACTCACTCATGAGCTACCCAAGTCTAGTGTAAGGTTGAATTGTGAAAAATGGCTCGTACAAAGCAGACCGCTCGGAAGTCTACTGGAGGCAAGGCTCCTCGTAAGCAGTTGGCTACTAAGGCAGCACGTAAAAGTGCGCCAGCTACTGGCGGTGTGAAAAAACCTCATCGCTATCGCCCTGGTACAGTTGCTCTGCGTGAAATTCGTCGTTACCAGAAGAGCACAGAATTGCTTATACGCAAGTTGCCGTTCCAGCGTTTAGTCCGTGAAATCGCTCAGGATTTCAAGACTGACCTTCGTTTCCAAAGCTCAGCTGTAATGGCTCTGCAGGAAGCTAGCGAAGCCTACTTGGTTGGCCTATTCGAAGATACAAATTTGTGCGCCATTCATGCCAAACGCGTCACGATCATGCCCAAGGACATTCAACTGGCCAGACGTATCCGTGGCGAGCGCGCTTAAATTGCTTCGCTATTCTCTTTTGTAGATATTACAAGCAACATCCAACAAATCGGTCCTTTTCAGGACCACAATATTTCTAACAAGGAGATTTCTATTTTCGCTTCAACTTTTTCAATTTTTCGATTTCAGTTGATCTCAAAAATAAATCGATCGATCATAGATATAAAATGTAATATAAAGAAAGTCTTTTGTTTTTAAATAGCACAAGCACAATATAGCTTTATTTGATTTTCAAAAATTGCATTTTTATAAGGCGTTTAGTGTTACAGTGGTAAGCCAATTGCTTTTCAATTCAAATATGACATATTTCTGATTATGTGTCCTTAAAACATTTTTATATACAAGTAAAAAGTAAACTATATTAGTTTTTATATATTTTGTATAGTTTGTGCCTTGTGTTACAAGATAAAGTAATATTTTAACACTGATGTATTTCTTTGCGCAAGATAAGTGTATCTGAAATGTGATTTTGAATTTGATGGTATGAAATAATTATATGTTTGAAGTAATGAAAATAATAACAAAATTTTCATTCTAATTTTGTAATTTATATTTATTAAAATATTTTTAATGTTACAGGGAAGATTTCATAATTCTGAAATATTTTTTTATTACGCTGGCTTAGAAGCATGAGTGTTTTTAACGAAATGAAATCATATTTAATGAATAAATCTATAGGGTTTCTTCATATTAATAGTTGTATTTTATTAACAAATTAATGAATTATTATCTTTTAAATTGATATATAAACGTTTTTATTATTAGATTTTATTTTTACGAATGATTTTTGTATTGCGTTGGCTCAAAAGCATGACTGTTTTTAACGGCAAATGTTTTAGTTGAAATCAAATGTTATTTATAAATCTATAGGGATTGTTCATATTGATAGTTGTATTTAATAAACAAATTAATGAATTATTATCTTTCAAATTGATATATAAACATTATTATAATTTTTCCAAGATAACTTATTTTGCATTCATACAAAGTTAGACTTTAAGGGGCAATAAAAAATCATGAAATTATATAAAAGTAAGCAAAAATTTGTTTTATGAATTTTTCAAACATTTGAGAATACAATCTAATACATATTTAGTTTGGATATCTAATTTAAAATGTTTAAAAATACAAGTCAATAAAATGGTAATTGTAAACTTTTGCATTCGACCCTGATTAAAACTTAAAAAGAACTACTCATTATATTTATTTCATTTAAAAACCGAATAACGTTTTTTTTTTTTTTTTTTTTTTTTTAAACATACGTACGAATGTCACATTCGTCACTAGAGAATTCCCAATATGTATGTTAGAGGCAATTAAAGTATGAAAATAAGTATTTATTTCTAGGTAAATTTTCGTTGGTGTTGGTGACGGAGGAAGGGTGAGTTTGAGGATTCCGAGTTTCGCGACATTATAAAACTACGCGATCGTCGTTACAAATTACCCTCGTGGATTACCCTTTCTAATGTCATAATGACAAATTTATTTGTCAAACAGAAACATAAATTAATTAATAAATTAAAGACAAAGTAATGGGGAATAAGATAACGGCAATTTTGACAGATAATTCAAGCTCAATAATCAAAGCGTGTGAACTGCTTTAAAAAATGCATTGACCCTATGCAAGATTGTATTAAGCTGGATTGCATAAGTGAATTACTTAAAAAATGCAAGTCCATAGTCGCGTTCTTAATGAAGCAATAAATTTGCAATTTAAAATTAGTTCTAAAGACAGCATAACGAAAGTAAAATAATAGACGATATTCCCAATTTTTTTTTTTTGTATTTTTGCTTTATCCACGGAGTCAGAGCGATCGTTCAGCAAAGCTGGACAGCTAAAAACGGAGCGATGAGCTGCCTTAAAAGCAAAGGATGCTCCTTTTTCTTCATCACAGTTCTGGGTTCTTGGCTGAAGACTGAAAGCCATACATTTTATTTTAATTTAATTCAAACTTGTTTTCGATATAGTCCATGAAGGATCTCATTATGTTAAACAATTTAAAATCTTTATTTTATTTGCTACTTATGTATGCATTTATTTAATTTATTTTTTTTATATTGAATATATTCGATAGTACTGTCGAATACTATTGAATATTTATTGTAGAACAATCGAATATTGCAGTCATCGACAGTATTACAGCCCTAGTTGACATACAAAACAGAAACTATTTTTACAAAAGTTGTAGTTTATACGATCAAAGTTTTTGTTCAGTTTGTTTACTTTGATTCATTTTAATTTTTATCTTGCCTTAAGTTAAATAAACGAACATGTTAAAATATTTTAATTACTTATTTAATCATTTTTTGTTAGCGATATTATCGATACTCTTAAACAATCGAGAGTATCGAATGGGACCAATATCGATATTTTGCCAGCTCTATTTGGAATGCCAACCAGCTGTTAAATTTTATGTGGTGGTTGGTCGATAGCTTCGAAATTGGATCATTCTCATAAAGATAAAAATACCAACTTCAACGTAAGTAAACGTAGACTTTGCGACGTTGGTGAATAACGTATATAAATTTATCTTTATTAAATGGCACTGACATCACATGTATTATATGTATTTTATAGTTTAAATTTTCTTAATAAGAAGAACACTTTTAAAGTTTAAGCGAAAAAGGATATTATTAAAATTTAAAGTAGACATAATATTTCCTGATTCATAATTAAAGAAAAATAATTATTATATTACAAACAGATCAAGTGCTAAATGCTTAAGAAGTCGTGAAAGTCCATTTTCGGAGATGGATTCAGGTGGAATGGATGAGATTTCACATAAGTTGTTAATTACAAAATATAGCTCATTCAAATATTTTAATTATATATTCAAAAGATATGATTTCATCTCTAAATAAGACGGGGCTAATTACTTAAATTTTATGATATAATCAAATGGGTAAAAATTAAGAGTATCCATTTAATAAAGCGAAACGAGAGCGCTTCAGTTCGGTTTCTGTAGTCTGTTCTAAATACGCATAATGGCAGTAAACGTATCAAAACATCACTAAACACGCAAAGGCAATTAAAATTGTTTTAAAACATGCAAACTCCTACAAGTAATACGCTCTTGCAACGGCGCACAGCGCACAGCTATCCGGGGTGTTGGGCTAAGCAACTTAAATAGAAGCCAAGAATGGCCAGCGAGTACTCTGGAGGCTGCTCGACGACGGTATACACTATGCGCACATGCACATGTGTTCGAGCAGTGGAAATATGTCGGAAGAAGTTCTCCCCATTTGAGTAATTGAAAGTCGAGAAAAGACTGCCATGCAACATTCTATGGTAGGGTGTCTTTCATTTATCCCTACACGAAATCTAATTCAATTAAGCAAAGTTAATAGCCTTTGCGCAACATACGTCACCGTCAATGCAGACCCATTGTATGTAATTGATCTTTGCCCACTGATTGCTCTCCATGGCTGAGGCTGAGGCTAGAGCTCTGTGGTCATTATATGAGCGAGCGAGCGAGCTAGCGACCGAGCGAGGCTTTTCAAATCGAATCGTAAAGGATTATTCAGCTGCACTACAGCAACAGCAGGCGTGCTAAACAAGTCTGCGAATGCTTCGAATTGCTTGTTGCATATGATAAGGAAAAAAATATGTCTGGATTGTGTTTGTTACCATTCCCACACATTGGCAAATGGAATTTAAGAATCGTATTTAAATAGCTCTGCCCCTTCACTTGAGCAGAACAACATGCAAATACTAGACCAGGGGCTACCGATCGTCGTTCTTAAGTGGCCCAAATAGCGACTATAAGCATCGCAGCAACAACTCAGTTTAGATAATTTGATGTTAAGAGAAATTAAACGACTAACATTATGTTAACATACATTTAACGATTAAGACTACAACATAATGTTAATTGAAGTGTCACTGGGAAGTGTTTGAATAGCCTAGGTAGCATAGGTAGATTCAGGCTAATCAAGTGATATGGCGATAAGTTAATTTAGACAAATGTTTTAATCGTCACATTAATGGCTTGGCATATTTTAGAGAAAATGCGTTGCATTAGCATCGACACCTGCTCATCGGCGTTGCCGATCCGGTTATGGCCTTAACTTCGTAGGCCATTAAAAAAATAAGCATGGCTTCATCTTCGGCAGAAGACAGGTGAGCGTATAAAAGGTAACTAAGTACATAAATGGCTTCAGCGGCTGGCGTTGACTAAGCGCAAGAACTATTATTTCTAATTTAGATGAAAGCTGAATTTATTAAATTATGTTTTATAGATTATATATGGTATGCGATAGAGACTGTCTAAAAAGCTTAATATATATATATATATATATATATATATATATATATATATATATATATATATATATATATATATATATATATATATGTACATATGTATATATTTTTGCACGTATTTATTATGTTAAACATTTTTTGTCATTTCATACATATAGATGTTAAGCTTGACTAGACGTGCAAATATTTGATACCATTCGCAATATACATGTACTTATATATGTATATGTACATATATAGGTATGTCTATGTGCACATACACACAGCTATACAGGTGTTTAATGACAATCATGTGGCAGTGATTTATGCAAATGTTACAGCACAACTGTAATAGCCAAATACTTGGCCATTTTAAGAAAAATGTGGCAAAGTATTAAATAGACTGGCAGCAAAAAAAAAAAAAAAAAACTAAGCAAAGATAGACAAAAAAGACAGAAAACGGACTCGCAGCTAAGCAACGCATAATGCAAGTAACCTGCCTTTCTGCAACTTCATTCATTTAATGCGGCAAAAAGTAGGGGCCCCAGTGCTTAGCTTAACTTTGCTCGCCAGCACTGCGAAGCAATAAAAGAAAAAGAAATAACACCAACAACAACAAAAATAACAACAATGCAACAACAACAATAAGAGCAACAAAACACGCTAACCAATAAAACAATTGAGAAGCTGTAAAAACCACAACAAAGAAGAAGAGTTCCGAAAACAGGTTTTTAACACAACATAACTGAAACAAGTTGGAGCTGTTTATTGAATGTTAACTTAACAGGCGACTGTTAACGGGCTGTTAACCGTTTAGAGTTCGCATTT